GGGATTTTCAAAAATCATGAAGATATTTTGTAGCTTCCGTGTGCGTCAATGTACGTGAGAAAATGCTGAAAAAATTCCTCTCTTGAGGTGATGTTTATCATTACTGAAAGTAGGCACCGAATGACGGAAAATCATGAATGCTACCTAGCTTGTTGGGCTTACCTATTTTGTTGTGAGCCCAATTGAGAGATTATACACTAGGCTCGTTAAAAATCTGAGAAATTTTTCGTTGCCGTCACGTAAAAGTTCGTAAAGAAGTGCACCGGAACACAATTCTCTGTTTTCGTGGGAATTTTGAATCATCACTCAGAGTGAGCACCAAAAGCGAAAAATTGCTTAATTTTGCGAATCACGTTGAACGCATAGAATTTTCAGCCTACTTCATTGGTCGAGGTTTTGTCAACAATTTGAGAATTTTTTGGTCGCCTTCCAGTAAGATTAATCAAAAAAAGTTTTGCCCGAACACGCAATTGTGTCTGTCTAATCAGCGTCGTAGGCACATAACAGACGATAGCAAATCGTAAAGAAATCATAATTTGCGGAATCGCAATGAGCCAACATTCCCCCCCAAAAAAAACCCTGAGACTCTCAAAAATGATGTTAAAACCATTCTTTTTCTGTGAGGTCCTCCGGAAAAGACATCAATTCAAGGGGAAAATTAGAAAATTTGAGTAAGTGGAAGATATTGCCGCTCCTCGGGCGGAAGGGCGTAACTCAATTTCCTCGTGAGCTGCGGTTCACATATAAGTTCATGCTTTCTGGGGCTCATATAGAAACCGAGGTACACCCTAACGTCAAAGAAGCGACGCTATAAACAACCCAAAAGTTGGTCAATACAACAGTGGTGAGACATTGTAAATGGAACTCATGCCTCTAAAGGACTTATCAATTGTCACTAGCCCAATATCAAAAAACAGCAACGGCAACGGTCTAGCCAGAGATTTGGAATTGGATGAAGATGGAGTTTCCAATCGACATCCTCTCATCAGTCATTAGGGGATGAAAGTAATGTGCGAACAATGTGAATGGCAACACGGCAGGCTCCTCGCCGATACCCTTCGCATTCGCACCGCGGCAAGGCTCCATTCAGCCTGCGTCGCTTCCCGTTCCCAGAACTGCTCCTTGCACCGGGGTAACTAAAGTATAAGCTCAAGGAAAATTTTTTGTTTCTCATTTTCTGGGATTAACTTTTCTCAATGTATTCGGATTCTGCATAAAATTTCAATCAAAGTGATATAAAAAAAAATCCAAAAAGTCAATTATTCACCCAGGAGAAAAATGTTTGGTATTCTGAATATTTATGAGGAGAGCAAATCAATTAATTATCAGAACTAAAGCTGCCATTTTTTTTTTTCCCCTGCCACCACAACGCCTAAAATGGATCCAAGTCTGGGAGATGATATGGCTTGAGGAAGTGAGTGTATTGTTGGGTTGGGAAAGGTACCAGCAAGGAGCTATTTTGGATCACCGGAGAGAGCAGTTAGTCCAAATGTTGAATGTTATCAAGGAAATGGGCCTAGTGCTGTTTAAACGGAACATTTCATTAATGAGCCCACCATTTTCGTAAAATTCGCAATGATGATCAGAAAGTCTATTATGTCTATGTATAGAAAAAATGAACCACGGTGAATAGAAATGGTTTACTAAAGGGTTTGTCATGTCGCAGTTTTTCAATTTTTCTCAGTTTTAAATGCAACTTTGACAGCTGGTCGAGTGTATTTCGTGATTATACTACGGTTTTAGGGGTGCACGTGTACCAGGAAATTGTTGAGCTATTTAATGTTTTTACCTCGGTGTTCCGCGGTTATCAACATCCATAATGTAGGGAGGAACCCAGTAGATGTTCAACGCTCCCGTGCGTGGGGGAAACACGGTTATTAATTCCGCATAGCACTTACGGCTTTCTTGCCTAAAACTAGCCGAACATGAAAATAAATAAAACCCTATTATTATGAATTTGAAATAAAATCGGTCAATTTTTAATCATCCAAACAATTTCTGGGAGTCTTTCGGACGATTAGTGATATTTGAGAAAGAACGGAGGCCTCTTTCAGTACAGTTTTCTGGTCAGACGCTTCTGAGCCCGTTCTATCAAAATTTCATGTTTGCAGTCACTATCTCTTCGCTATTAAGTACAGTAGAATACCAGAGGGTCCGCCTTTCGCCTGCTCTGCGGTCAAACGTACGGGGATTAGTGTCTAATGTGAAGTATCGAGAAATCATGAAGAAACGTAATGCAACAAACAAATCGAAAGCACAATGGTATGCGGTTAAGCGAAGAAGATTGAACAATTGGACTATATTTTCCGATTTTTTTTTATTTCTTTTTTCTCTTTTGGAACTAACATTTTAGGCTCTCGTCATATCCAAGTGAAGTGGTCTAAGTATAATTCCAATCCCTCTCCACATCAAAAAATTAATTAAAGTAACTCGATTTTCAGGTTTTTTTTTTTTTTTTTTTTCAAATTCATTTCCTTTACTCTCTTTGGATTGGAAATATCCGAGAACATCCCGTGTTCTAACTTCCTGACGGCTTTTCAGTTAATAAAGAAAACTCATCACAAATAAAATGACGGTACATAAACTAACTGAGATCCCTTTCCGAAATATACCCTCGTTATTTGAATATTGCGGGGAGCATATCATAATCGATGAATATACTTATGTACAAAGTTGGGTTCAAACCAAATATGCAACTACTTTAACTCTGCGGAGTGCCGGGTTGCATACGCTTGATTTTGCGGGCGAAATCTAAGATCTGCCCAGGCTTTCGCGATAAAATTGCGAATGGGGGAAGTTGCATTTATTCTTTACACCCTCCTCTTTTAACTAAATTAGGGAAAATTTAAATTTTTAGTTCTTTTACGTGTAAAAAAATCAGGTTATCTGGTATGGTCATATTTAACAAATGGCGGATGAAAGACTGCCTGAGGAGGTACTGAAATGGTTTCCTCTTGGAAGGAAACGTATTGGAGACGCCCAGCAAAATCTTGGATTGGTGGCATTCAAAATGAAATTTCGAGGATCTATTTACCAGATGACCTATATTCCGATAGACAAGGATGGCGATTAGGTGTAGCAAAGCGCCCGCCGGGAGCACTGTAAAAGCGACGGGTAAATAACATAAAAAAATACGCCATGATCATTGATCATTGATATTATGGTCAAATCAATTGAAAGCAATTTTTTGTAGATTGACTAATTAGGAATCAAAACATTTGTTTAAAATAAAACAATGTAATGTTGTCTAATAATATTTAAGCAATTTTTTTTTTTTTTTAAATTGAATACGCCTCAAGATATTCAATATCCGTTCCCTGCGGTAAACCCGTTTCACGATCGTGAATTTTTATGACACATAATAATTGTAAGGAGCCTATTGTGTTAAATATATAAAGAAATGAGCGAGCATAAACAGTTAAGGAAATTTGAGAAGGAATGATGAAATGCCGTAGAAAAAGTAGATGTCATTGCACTCATGCATCATTTTGTCAGTCGGACGGACGAAAATGAAACACAAGAAGACGCGGCCGAATTAGAGCCACCATTCAAAGCCTGGACAAGACTTTGAAATCGAGGAGGTTGAGCGAATTGTCGCCGTCCGTTGAATCAACTCGAAATCGCTGATTCTGAGCGAACTATCCGGCCGTTGATAGTTAACTCAAGATTTCACTTTCATCGGAGAAGAGACCGATCCGAGGTCCTGATTTTAACCGCATGCGTTCCACATCCCCTCGCGCCTCCGAAGGGGTTGACAGCGCGGTACGCGTTCCGATCCCCGTCCAGATTTCAATACCGAGGGAATTCCCGGTACAGTTGCCTCTTGATACCTGAGGCCGAGGCAACTCGGATATGAGCTATTGCGGTCTCTGCCCTTAATCAGGGTCTATCAGACGTATTTCATATATTTAAGAGGAGGGTATGGATTCGATCAATATGTATCGATCAACACCGATTTGATCGACCAATTATTGAAAAACCGGTGTCGATTCGATCGACATGAATCGATCAAAAAATGAAAACTTGAATTAATTGACATGAATCAATCGACACCGATTCGATTGACAGTTAATTATAAAACACCTGTGTTGATTCAATCGACATGAATAGATAGGAAAATGAAAACGTGTATCAATCGACAACTGTGAATCGATCGACAAACCTGTGAATCGATTGACAGGCCCGCGAATCGACCGAACTTCGTCAACGGGTTCAGGGTCGATTGATTCACAACGATGAACTCACGTTTTCTTTTTTCGATCCATTCATATTGATCGAATCAACACGGGTGTTTTTAAATTAACTGGTGATCGAATCGGTGTTGATTGATTCATGTCGATCGATTCATGTTTTCATTTTTCGATGGATTCATGTTGATCGAATCCATACCCTCCCATTTAAGACACTGTCATATATTCCAACTTTTCTAAGCTGTCAAAGCTTGTCAAAGCCGTGCACTTTGCGTTTAAGTACCAGTGGAACATTAGCCAGAGCTTGGCTTATTTCAACGGCCTGATTATTAAAACTATGTTGGCAAGACATAGCCCTATATTAACCATGCAATATATCTTGTTTCGCTGTCTCATCGGACTGCTTTAAACTTTCAATAATTGGCCCACAGGCGACTGTAAAGCCTGATTTAGATGTTCAAAATTTTTGTCCAATTTTTTTATATTTTCAATGTCCATGTCCTACCCCAATGCAGGAAGGTATTTAGCCCCATTTTAGCATGATTTCTAGCGAAAAATGCATGCCAGTCTCACTGAAACCAATTTCAATCGGAATTTTTGGAACTCTGTAGCGCATTATAACTAATGTCAAATGCTGTAACCGAATTTTTTATACAATTGCTTAGAACTGTTATTGGGGATTTCAAAAACACCTCAACTCAATTTTTTCAAGAACATGAGTCTGGTACCTTTTTGCTCCTAGTTTATTATTATACTACACAAAACAACTGAATGTAAATATGCCAACATTTAATATTTTTTTGCTTGCAGCATGGCTGGCGTTTCTTTTTTTGGTGAAGTGATTCAGCAGTCTTCAAGGGCCTTTTGGAATGATGAGGATAGTGATGATGAAAATGATGCATCTGCTGAAGCAAAGTAAGGACAGCTTAAAATTGGTAAAACTGCAACATTTCACCTCTCTGTTCTTATGCAAGATTCTTGGGTTTCGCTAATCAATCAGGACAATTAAATTCTACGCTTGAAAGGTTTTTAAAATTTTGTGATGAAATTTTTTGAATAAGGACTTCAAAATAATGTTTTTTTTTACAAACATTTTTATTTCAAAACTTCTTTAAGTAGCACTTTTCCTCCTTTTATTTTTGTGGAAGAAAGATACATAACATTTTTTCACAAAATTTGAAGTATCAGCTCCACTTGGCAAAGAAAAATTTTGTTAAGTCTTGACTTAATGACCATTGCTTCTTGAAAATGAATGAATAAAACGACAAACAATCCTAAGTCTGCTACTTATTGTTTGATTGGTCACCAAAATTAATGTTGCTCACATGAACTACAAATGATACTCTTGTTTTCTTACAGGTTACACCTAACTCAGAATGCAGAACAAGATTCCTCTTATCACACTCTAATTATTGCTGATGGACAAATTGCAAATGGTAATTTGTTATTCTATACTTGCATCTATGACATGAAAACAGAGGCTGTACTAGCCTCTCCATTTTTGCCCCTCAGATACAATAGCATAATAGACCACTAGATAAGGTACGAATTTCAGCATGCTGATACGTGTTTTTAAACCTAAATTTTACGTGAAACACAATGCGCTCAACGGAAATTACCAAAATCAACTCCTTCCGAAGATATTTAATAATTCTTGGTGCGTGAATTGAAACCACCCGCTCATGAAAACTCAATGCTCTACGTGATTCACATCACGCGCTAAACGTTATCATGAACGCCTCTGCGATATAAAAATCTGGCAACCTCGATCTTGACGCTTTGGCTCCGCCATAGCAAATTGCTTATAGTTTGAACAACACCTGGTGGGAAATGAACACTGCTTGATTGAGAAGCTTGCTGAAACCGTTGTAGTGCGCGATTTGACTCACGTAGAGCTTTGAGTTTCTTGTGAGCGGGCAGTTCAAATTCCTCGTAACCAATGTGTAATAAAAACATTCATATCTTCGTTAAAAGTTAGTTTCAGTAATTTTCGTTGTAAGAATCGTGTTTTACGTAAAATTCTGGTTAAGGAACATGTATCAGATTGCTTAAATTCGTACCTTGTCTAGTGGTCCATTGCAAATATTTCTGGCAATCATCAATATAATAAGTTCTGTGGGTTTTTTATATTGGCCGCACTGTGGTGCTAAGGAGAAGCACCCATATGAACCTTCATGTGTTGCCATTTTTCCTCTGATAAAATACACATTGATTGGAAAAAGTGTAAATGTTTTTCTTATAATTTTTCCAACAGTTTTTTTCTCAATCTAATCTAAAATATCCAAACATTTCGAGGAAAAATATGCATAACTTTCTACCAAAATAATTATTTTTCAGGGAAAATTTGGCAACATTCAAATTTTCACAAGCATTTTCCCTTAGTATGGCAACGTAGATCAGTATCTTGAAATTGGTTACGTTGACACAACTCTGAGCTTCTGAAATGCCCTATAAACAGCACGGTATGAATTGTGTGGGACTGATACAGGTGAAACATTAGCCTCTCGCCTATTGTAGGATAGTACAAAGAGTTTTCTAAAATTGTCAAGAGAAATGCCGATAACCAGATCTTTCCGGCTAATGAGATAGAGACAAGGCATTTTTGCAGAGTTGTAAGAAAGTAATTCCCATGTAAAATTTTGTGAAGAAATTTAGCAAGAGAAATCATTCTCAAGGGGAGAAAATCAAATCAAAATCCTACCCATCAATAGACGGGTAAGACGGGTGTAGAGTTGACGTAGCAATAGGAAGCCTAGAGATGAGTTTAGCCAATCAGAAAATGCTGCTTTGCCCGTCTATGTCATCAGTGCCTGCTAAAACTATTGTTTTAAATAGGCCATTTTCAATTCTTGCCATTTTCAACACAGGGTTTATTTGTCATTTAGGATTCAAAAAAATCTGAATAAATTTCTAGAAACCAAGTTCACTCCATGCCTTCAGAAAATGAATTTTAAATAAAATGGGTGCCAGTGACCCACTGAGCTGAAAATTTTAGCTACCTGAACTATAGTGTAAAGCCGTTCATTCTCTTGAGTTTGACTTTTGCCCCCCTTTTTGTTTATTTTTTTTTTTGTTGCCAATTTTCATCTTTCTCGAAGCACTTGACACTGGATGTATGCTTTTCTTTAACTCAAGGGTGAAATAGTCTTACTTTAATTAGCATGAATTTCAAGTCAATTCAAAAGTTGTATCACATATTATTTATTTTACAAAGAATCTTTTATAAGCTGTCTTTCATTTTCTTTTATAGAATTTGTTCAATTTTTCCTGGTTGATTCTAAGCAATGTGAAGTAGCTAAAATCCATAGCAGTGATGACAGTCCAAAGAGAACTTATGCAGCACTTCTAAAACTGAAAGAGTCTGTTCTACTTTGTGTTTGTTCAAATGTTCCCGTTGAGTACGCCAATCAAATCACAGAGATGGTAAGCCATGTATTGGAAAATAATTTTCCCTGAAAAAAATCAAAACTAGTAAAAACAATTATGAATGTTTACATAAGTCAAAGTAGAATTCTTAGGCGGGGAGATTTTTCTTACCTTTATACTCTTCTTCTCAAATTTTATAGAATAAAGCAATGAAGGATGACTAATGAAAGTATTTTGATTTTCTTTGAATAAAATAAAGTTTTTGAAAGTCCTTGTAGCTGCATGTTGAATTAGTTTTAGAAAAAAATATGTACATGTTAATAAAATTTAGAGGAGTCACTAATTTTAGAACCTTCACAAAGAACTGCCTAGAACTTTAAAAATATATACTAGCTGCTCAGCTTGCAAGGAGGATCTCTCCCCTAAACCGGAGCCAGGGACTGGGGGCTCACTTTGCGAACCAAGTTTTGCTCCGTTTTGTCATTCATAATAATTTTTATTCGGCAATTGAATACTTCATATAAGGCTCACCGCCATTCCAACCCTCCCCTTTCATCGTTTTTTATAAAGCACCCCCGCAGAAGCTGAGACCCCCCCCCCTCCCTTTTATGTTTTATCCACTTAATTTTTGGTAATTTTTTGACCAAACTCATGGTATTTTTATTCTGTCTAGCTATCACCATGGATTAAAGGAGCCTCTCAGATAATTATCTTGGGTTCCGCTGTCAACACATATTATAGATGTGATAACTTTGACCTGTTACCACCATCTTTTCTTCGAAGTTTAAAGACATGTACATGGAAAGAGTCAGTGAAAGCTCCACCGTTAGAAATTCCAAACACTGTAATAGGTGTTCCTGCGTCAGGTGAGTACTGAAATATATTAGTCGTTGAAAAAAATGCTGTGATAAATTTAATAAGTTGGGGGTGTTTGTCACTTTTTTGGGTGTCATTACAATAAAAATGGTCATTTTTACGTACATATTTTACGTTCCTACGTTTTTAGGTGCGGAACCATAAATAAGTGTAAGTGTTACCATTTCTATAAAAGTAGCTGAGACTTGAAACTACCTTCTCCATCTCTCGCTGTGTGCAGCATGGAAATAGAAAGGAACAGGGTAGCACCAACCTTTTGCTTACCAACAATGAAAATAAGCAGCAAGTATGCAGGTTGTTTTTCCTTGAATAAGTCCGTAAAGAGAACTAAGAAACAAATTCTGATGCAAGGCCTTTTCAATGTCTACTAACCGGAGGTTGAAGAATCTTCTTTCATTCTAATATTGCGGGGTTGAACAAGATGTCTCTTGAAACCTGAAACCTTGAAAGTGGTGTGGGAAGTTCTGAAGAAAATAAATTATCACAATCTCAGCCTTAAGAATTTCTTCATTCTTAGATACTTTGCACATATGGCAAGATCTTACCTATGCATTGAGCCCAAAAATCTGAAAAATAAGTGTACTTCTCTATCTTCCTTATTTTTCACTGAAAAGAAAAAAAATACCATTGACATACTTCCTCCTGTACTTGAAAAAAGCGAGAGCTAAGGCGTTAGTTTGTTAGTTAGGAAAATTCTCTGAATTCCCAACAAAGGATCTCTTGAAACTCATTTTTGAATTCTTCATCTCAAAGGCACATTTGAAGGGATGATAAATGTATGTTTAAGAAAAGTTTCAAAGTTATACTTCAATATTTTGGTGTCTTACAAGTTTTTTTCTTTGGTTTTTGTTCCAGTTCTATCGTTTTGTGAAATTCTAGACATCTCAGCAGTGCTTTATGTCTGTTACGCAGATTCCTTACACATTGACTCGCAGAGCATTCAACCGCTTTTCAATCTCTTCCATACTAGTCCAGAACTTAGCTCACTACTTAAAACCGATAAAAACCTTAAGAATTATCACTATTCATCATCCATTACTCAGTCGAACATGTATTTATGAAAAGAGGTAATGTACAAACTACAGTTGATCTTCATAATAAAAAAACATCAAATTCTCAAGAATTTGAAAATTTTTAACCTGTCATACTTTATCCTTTTCACTGGAGTGAAGCCAGGAAGTTAACGACTCCATACTTTCGTTAATTTATCTAGAAAGTACTCCTACAAACAATATGAACCATGATTCCTCTGCGGTCAATAATTGAAATATATTACTTTAAGGGAAAGAAATGGAATGAAAAATATTTTTCTCATCGTTCCATAAGGAAGGAACTGTTCTTATTTAATCTTTTCTCTCTCTTCTTGGAAGGATCAAGCAGAGAGTTGTTTTGTTTGAGCTATGCAGCAAAGAAATTTTAGGCTCAACTAAAATTTGATTATAATTGAAAAAATTACCCAGAGTTGTATTACTCTCTACACTCTATACATAGAATACAAACTAAGGTCATGCTCTGTCTCGTGAAATCGAAATCTTGGGGTCATCGGACGTCGGGTACACATTTTCTTATATTTTTGATAGAGTGTGGCGGTGTGATCACAACAGTTTTGCATGACTTAGGTGATAAATGTAGTGTTTTAAAGTATCTGATCAATAATTAAAAACACAAAACGGTAAGACCAAATGAATTACGCGTTAGAACACTCATGAAAGACGAAATGAAATATTTATTTCACATCGGGTACCCATGTATCGGAATGGATCAATATTATGTTGAAAACGGCACCTAGTGCTACAAAAAACCTTTAAATTTGGAGCTTGAAAATACTTAAAGGTGACAATAGCTCCTTCATCCCTCTTACGACCCTATGCACTTTATAACACATAGCGCCAATCTCTGCTAAAAGTATCCAAAAAATCTTAATCATCAACAATAAGTTGCAGCGAAGTGGAGGTATTACCCTAAGTCTGTTAATATTCTAGCGCAATTTTTTACTTTTAGAGGAGAGCAACTTACTATTGAAGAAATGACGCAAAGTTGAATGAACGTGGTAAGAATTTTGAATTTAAAATTTAGTGAAGAGTTGAAATTAATTGCGATTAATTTTTCTAATAGGTTGCAGTTACTATTAAATGAATAATCACGATTATGATTAAAGTTCCATTAATTGTACAACTTTTATATACATAGATGAAATCTCTGCTTGAAAGTACTTGTGTAAAACTATGTATGAATTTTAAATACAAAGGAAACCATCAAGAGATTTTCTGAATAAATGCAACTTTATTTATTCTTACAATTAGAGGTGTAAAATTAAGTATCCTTAGGCGCTAATTGCTTAATCTGAGTGAGTCTTATGTCTTGTAAATAGTACATAAATACCTAATGGCTATAGGAGGTTTTGAAGAGGTTTTACTCCAGTATAATTCAGCCCTACCCATCGAATTATGCAAGACAAATTTCTTCTGTATCTTCTGATCCTACTTTAATAGGCGGTAGAACATGCATTTTTTGAGAAGCCGAATTTTTTTAATTGCCAAGGTTCACAGTTCAAAACGATCCATTATTTTTTTTTCAGTTTACTTACAATTTCTAGGGAAATCACATAACTTTCTGACTTTTCATTGGGAAAGTAGGGCTTTAACAGAGTGGGTTTGATCCTGTGCTCTTTTCATAAAGAGTAGTTTACTTCTTTAACATTTCGTAATATTTTTTGGAGTTAAATAATCATCAATGGGNGGGGGGGGGGAGAATGTAGGAATATAACTCATTAAAATTCTGAGAAAAACACATCTGAATATTTGTACAACAACATTGAAAGCTAAACATGGATGAAGATGGAGGGCCAGTGCATTTGACACTCTCGTTTTTTTCCTAAATTATCCTGAGAATCTTTTATAATTTTGAAGAGCTTTAAATAGACATGACAGCAGAAGAACTCAGTCTAACTTAACTTCACCATCCTAACATTGCTACAAACCGAAGGTTTTCAGGAACCCTTGAATCTTTAAAGTATTTCTGTATCAAGCCATGAGCAAAAAGGTATTTTTAAGAGTCTTGGGTGTCTTGCTTTGGGTATATTTAGGTGTCTTGAGGCGCAGAAACTTATCGTCACCTCTTCCCGTAAGAGAGGTTGATACTGGGAGACTTGGTCAGAAAATTGTTCATTTATCTTAGACAACCCCTAGGAGATGAGTAAACGCACAAAATAATTGAGCTGATCATTGAACCAATACTTTTTGAACAACAAGACTTGTGCTTCTCTTTTTTGAGGAAACTGTCAATGAGCTGTTTATGCTATATGAGCTCCTTTAAGATGTCAGAAAAATGTTGCTTTAATTACAGATGTCTTTTATGACATCTAAAAATTGCCTATCCTGAATGTTTTAATATTAGTATAAAATAAGATGATTCCTGAGGCTGTTGATAAAGAGAAACGTATCTCAGTAGTTGTTTGATTATTGAATTACACCACAATGAATCGTGATTTGATACAACTGCAGATGAAAGAAACGGCCAGGTAAACTACGTATGCACGGAATGCATAAATTGAAATCAGGAGAGCCTTATGTAACACTTTTTTCCTGTAAACAAAAAACAGGTTGTGAGGATTTTTGTTTATATGCCCATATACAGCTGAGCAAAAGCATCATACATTTTTCCAAGATTTTCTTCCTTATCTGAGCACTGAGTCAAATTTCAAGAATTCCTATCCATTTCTACCCATAAATGTATTTATTAGTATTTTCAGGAAATTTTCTTGATTTTATGATCTAAGTGTGCTGAATGTCCTAGACCAGGTGCACACTTTATCATTCAATACAGCATCACTTCAAAGTTTGAAGAACATGCATACTGAAGCCAAAATGCCAGCATATTATGGAAGTAGCTAAATGCACTTAAGGATAGAGAGACTCCTGCTGTCACAGTGCCACATTCACATTTTGAGCATTGAGCCCCTTAAGACAACATTGATTAATTAAAACTAAAAAAGAATGGTTGCATCATGTTTCAGTTTTGAGTTCAAGGTTGGAAAAGAGCACAAAGAAAAACTATGCTTTTGCTCGTCACTGTAGACAGTTTTCACTGTACACGACCCATCTAACCTAAGTTGATGTGGTCCTCAGCAAAACTAGGAATGAAGTATTTGTGTTCTTGCTGAATATGATAGGTTCAGCAGCCCTTGAGATCTATGAGATGTGTGCCTAAATTTAAATTCTTAGTTTGAATTCTTAAAGCATTCAAGAGCGCTAGTTGAGCTGAGGAAATGATACCCCTTATTCAGTCAATATCTCCTCTCATGAAATGAAGCGCTCTTCAGTCGTACCTATAAATATCTGTCAATTAGCAAAATTCTGAAGTGGAATACCTTTTTTAAAAATTACCTCTCTGGAATGTTCAACAGCTCATGACCCAAGTAGCATTTTTCAACGGAGAAGTCGCGATATATTGCGATTTTATCGGCGATAAAATCGCTATGATCATCAACATCTGAGCGATTATCCTCGATTTTGTTGCAATAAAATCGCGATTTTATCGCCCGGCAATTTATCGCGATATTATCGAAAAAAAAAATCGCGATTTATGGCGATTTAATCTAGAGTTAATCGACGAAAATTGATCGCGATTTTATCGAACAAAAAATTGCGATGTGTAGCGATTTAATCGCCATAAATCGAAATTTTTTATTCGATAATATCGCGATAAATTGCCACCGATATAATCGCGATAATCAACCGATAAAATCGCTATTTTTCTCGATCACTGCTACTCGGGGAGACTGCAAGTTTCCAATAAAAATAACGTTTAAAGATTCAGTCTGAACCCCAAAAATTAATCTGTATCTGATTGGTTTGCTTTCTTTTTGATAGGGATCAAAGTTTTATTTTTTCATTTATATATGTAATAGTGTTGAAAAGCATACAAACCTTCTACTTTTAATTCGAGCTTCGGGTAAGGTGCTCATATCATCTTTCACAACGTACAAGCGTAGACCTCTCATGTAGTACCAGAAGAAATCATTCCAATCAACTTTTTTAATGTCAAATTGAAAAATCTCCCTTTCATATGGTGTAAGTTCTGAATTCAGTTCAGCAACATTATTACTTTCGTAGTCCCACTCTCTTTGGCAATAAGGATAGAAAAATGACACAAAACTGATCACTTTTCTGAAAGTTCTCAGCAACCTTCAACAAGAAATTAAAACAATTCTTAAGAAAACAAAGAAACATATAATGAATCAGTAATATTAAAGAAGATTGTAGAATTGATTCCGTTCCATTTTCTAATTTGCTTCTTTTCTTTTTGCAATAATGTCTGCTAAGATTTAGAGACCGCCAATAGTATTTTTGCAGTTCCGTTTACAGAGTTCATTTAAAGGAGTGGAAGTTCCTCATAAGGGGAAACGTACCTTTTTTTCTCCTCTAGCTACCTAATGAAAAATTGGACTGTATTTTGCAATTTGGAACTATAAATTCTGGCCCGGTTTAAAAACAACGTATGTGCCATTAGTTTCCCTATGCACATAAGTGTTTTTCAGATGAGCCAGTTCAGTTCAAAGGTTTTCAAATAGAAAATTTAAAATATTGATCTTAAAATTTTCTCTGAAGAATGTTCTCATCCAGAATTGAAATGAATGTATATATTTTTACTAAAAGAATCTAAGTTTTAAAAAAAAATAGATAATCCATAGGAAGTATGTTCTTAGTATTTGCACATTTTGTGGTTTAATTCATAGGAACGTAATTCCTTTGAGCATACAAATGTTGAAATTATGACAGGATGACCTTATAAAGTAGTGTACTCATCCTTCATTCGTATTTGTAGATCAGAGGCAATATATTGTGAATATTTTCATTAATTAATTTGAAGTAGCAGTGGAAAACTGCGCCTCAACCTCATTGTCTGCAATGGATTCCTCAGTTTTTTGAACTTTGTATCTTTCTCCTGGAGTCAGATATGGTTACCCAATTTTTTATTCCCTGACAAATTCTATCAGCTAATTATAGATAAAAATTTAGCTAATGTCCCCCCAAAGAAAGTTGCTTATGAAAAACCTTGATCTAGAAAACACTGATTTACTCATCCATCCAATGTTTCTCTGAGTTACTTTGAAACGGATGATGAAATTTATGTACTCACATTGGAGGTTTTCCAGCCAACCTGAGCATCGTGTCAAAAATTATGGCTGGTATGATATGCATCTGAACGCATTCGATTTCGTATTTAAGTCTCCAGTTCTCTAGTCTGAAAGAATATGGCCACACCGCCACAGTTGCCTCCAGACCTTGTTGCACATGTGCATTTTCATTAAACCACATGAATTTATCCCATGTTAAGTCTTTGTGATAGTGAGTAGATACCAAATTGAAAACTGGATCCTTTCCAGGCTTTAACCTTGAATGAATAAAAATAAGGATGTATTGATATATGGATGACATTCAGCAAAAAAATATTTTCAGTGAGTACCTAATTAACTCTCACGAAAAAGCAAAGTGGGACCCAAGTAGCTGGAATATCCATTGACGGCAAAGAGCTTGATGCAAAAACGGCTTTTTTTCGCCCCCCCTCTGGAAGTTCTTCAGACCTTGTCCATTGATTACTCATACTTGAGCGCTTCTTTTCCCAAATTTTCAGACCCCCAAAAAATTTTGGGGAGGGGCTAGGGGGGGTGGAAGTCAAAACCTGTGAACCTCGATATCTCTTGAACAAAGAAAGATATCAAGGTCCGGTTTGGACGAAAAATCGTCTAAAATTGCATACTTTAAGATTCTGAAGGTCGAAATCCCGATATCACATTTTTAAGTCAACATATGTGCTTTTTTCCAGTTTTTAGGTCTAGAAAATTTCTTTTAAACGAAAAATTTACAAAGATCTCAATTTTTTATTTGAACCAAAACCAGTTTTTTAAATTGTTCGTCTTTTTCCGCATCCAACGAGTGGTCCATTAAGCTGGGGAACCAAACGGTTCCGGAGTTATGATCGATTGGAGTTTCCGCTCAACGCGCGCCGACCGATTTTCGCGCGCAAAAAAGTCGGATTTGACTGTTATTAGATCAGATTGAATGTTCAAACTGAGCAAAATGCTTTATTAGGGACTCTTGAGGGTCGCTGAGTTCAGAAATTACCGATACTTCCAAAAAATTCACGTTTTTAAAATTGCAGCTTCGGACAGGACCACTGAGCGGCCGGTCGGCGCTCAGTGGGCCTCTAAAATAGCGCTGCGGAGCTGTAATTTTAAAAACGTAAATTATTTGAAAGTATCGGTAATTTCTGAACTCAGCGACCCTCAAGAGTCCCTAATAAAGCATTTTGCTCAGTTTGAACATTCAATCTGATCTAATAACAGTCAAATCCGACTTTTTTGCGCGCGAAAATCGGTCGGCGCGCGTTGAGCGGAAACTTCAATCGATCATAACTCCGGAACCGTTTGGTTCCCCAGCTTAATGGACCACTCGTTGGATGCGGAAAAAGACGAACAATTTAAAAAACTGGTTTTGGTTCAAATAAAAAATTGAGATCTTTGTAAATTTTTCGTTTAAAAGAAATTTTCTAGACCTAAAAACTGGAAAAAAGCACATATGTTGACTTAAAAATGTGATATCGGGATTTCGACCTTCAGAATCTTAAAGTATGCAATTTTAGACGATTTTTCGTCCAAACCGGACCTTGATATCTTTCTTTGTTCAAGAGATATCGAGGTTCACAGGTTTTGACTTCCACCCCCCCTAGCCCCTCCCCAAAATTTTTTGGGGGTCTGAAAATTTGGGAAAAGAAGCGCTCAAGTATGAGTAATCAATGGACAAGGTCTGAAGAACTTCCAGAGGGGGGGCGAAAAAAAGCCGTTTTTGCATCAAGCTCTTTCTTGCAGCATGTGAAAGTGTTTGCATGACCCATGGAACTATAGCTGTTGTTAATTTTGTAATTTTTCTTGAGATGATTGTTGACTTAAATGTTATTTACGTTATTTCCATTTTGTTGACTTTCCGTAAACCCCTCAGTAGTTTTATCATTCAGCAAACTTTAAAATATGTAAATTTTTTTGGAGATTGAGTAAACTATAGAATAAATTTTACCCCTAGAATTTTGTAGGTACCTTCATAGCAGATTGGCCCCCAAGGCTTCTTATATGCTCTGATGTGTGAGAGAGGAAATTTTGAAAAACAGTATCAGCTCAAGTAGAAAAAGAAGCATCTACGATGCAATTATCAAGAGTCTGGTGGTCTCTGGGTGTGAAGTATGGCCAATGAAACAGCGGACCCAGTATCTTGGTTTGCAACGTTGCAGACTTCTTGTTATACTTGATTTTTAAATGGAAAAATACTCGATATCCTTTTTATAAGTTTCCCCGATTTTTTTTCTCCGAGTGAAGAATAATCTATATTTCCAAGGAATAGGGTCGGTTCATTCTCCTTTAATTAAATAAAATAGGAGCAGAGATTTTGAAACATCATAAGTGAGATATGCGTCCCTGTAATTTCACCGGTGATACGTCGAAAACCCTTTATGATGAGGCCTATTTGTACCTTTTTTTACATATAACGTTAGTATGCAACTCACTCTTGATTGGCAATCTGCCATGCCATTGCTATGGATGCATGTATTACGTAATCAACCGGAATAAGGTCTGCTCTTTTGTATTTGTCGCAGTAGAACGTGTGCAGAACACCCAAAGCAGCACCAGCCAGAACACCTGTAGCGCCATAAACATTGTTGATCCAAGCTCTCACCGGATCTTTGTAGGTACTCACCACTAAAAACAGTTGCAAAGAAAGAAATAGTATCAAATTCGTGACAGCCAGGGTGAAATCTTTGAAGAATCATGGTTCAAGAAGTTAGCAAAATTTCCGGATGAAGTATTATTTTATAGTGATTTCGTGTAAGACCCGTCGCAAGGTACCTATTTTTGGTGAAAAAATATCGAGCATGGAACTCATTTTTTTTTGCCTAAAATTTCCGAGTATTCAGTTTATTTGTTTTACAAAACTCCATCTAATATCAACTACACACATTTTCTTCTCAATACCTATAGGCTTTTTTTGCAAACATGCCAATAGGCCTCTTTCAAAGCTCCTTGCACTCAGACTTTGCATGGTGTATTCATGGCCGGATTTACCTACTTGCCGCCCATGGGCCGCATATATTTTGCCGCCCTCTTCTCATTCATTTTGAAACATCAATAAAAACCATCAAGTGAACATGCCGGAGGGAGAAGGGTGCATAAGACGCGTTCACTCGTGTTCACTCGTGGGGACAAGGCCTTTCATTTGTAAGAAATGAACTAAAAAATTAAAAAAGAACAAACATAAATGTGGTTTAATAATTTTAACTTCCGCCGCCGTGCCGCGCTGACCACACTGTGTTTGGCGCAATGCGTGAAGTATTCATGTAGTCTCGTAGGCACTGTGCGTTTCACGCCGCGCCGACCGCTGTTGACCGTACTGTGTTAGACGCAATGCGTGAAGTATTCATGCAGTCTCGTAGGCGCTAATATATGTTACATGCCGACCGCCGCGTCGAGGGCTTCTCCTTTTCATCCAAGTTCTCGTTATCGTTTCTCTTTGCGCCGCGCCGCTCCAGGCCAAATTACGTGTTTGGTTTCTCTCTTAACTCAACTAATTAAAGGTGCGCAGTCTTTCACCGAAATACGACAAAATTAGAAATTAATGAACTCTCAGGAAATGAGAGATTTTGTCACCTTTTCTTGTTTGTAATTTTTTTCTGAATCCGATTTTTTTGTACCTGCATTTAAAAAAATTGCAAAATTTGCCGCCCCCTAATTTTGCCGCCATGGGCCGCGGCCCATGTGGCCACCCCCTTAATCCGGCCCTGGGTGTATTCGGAGTAACAATAAAACATTTTCAAGATTTGCACGAATTCACCACCAATTAGAATCATTCATGAGATAACCGCTAGTGAGCATATGGTCAAACATTTTTTGAAATATCTTAAAAACTCTTAAAAAGTGGTAGGATTCTGACTTCATTAGAGACATTTCACACATTAATGGAAGAGTCCTCATTCTATCTCGGAGGAATTCTTAATGTTCAGGCATGATAAAAATTTCAGGAGCCTACTGACTAAGGTCGATATTTACCTTAAAAAATACATTATTATTTCAATGAAATTAGGAAATTATAAACGGTGCCAAGGTTGAATTTGCGGAAATTCTGACCTTACTCCTATTGTCGCAAGTGAACTTAAATATCTAGTCTTTAACTCAAACTCACCAATTGATGGTCGAGCAACAGCTACTGGTAGGCCATATTTCTCCCGATAAGTTTGCACCATATTTTCTGCTAATGCTTTTGTGTATCCATATGTATTCAGCCACTTACCTACAACTCTAAGTCAAGTTAATGTTAAAATTAAAGTGCAAGGAGGCTGCATGTTTTGACAATTATAGTTCAGTTACTTTAAGGGCTCAAATATTTGCTGAAGTAAAAAACTATACTCGTGCAAAGAACAGAATCTCGACTTAAAAATTAATTAATCTGAAAGGGTTGCCATTATTAAGATACATTAAGGTACAAGTACCTACCAACAATGCATAGTAAAATTTTACAAGCTTCTAATCCCCTTGAAAACAGCAAAAACATTACGGAATCATGGCTGTATTGCAACTCTCATGTATTGAACCCTCCTAGCACAAAAAGTATTTAAATTCGAATTTATTTACTTATTTATTTTAATTTGTTTATTTTCTTTTCATAATTTTATAAAAATATTTATTTGCTTGTGAAAATTCAAATTTGTTGCTTACTTAGAGGTGATAGCTCCAATCTGCCAATCATCCAGATTCTCAAAAAGTTGTTGAATATCCTCGGAAGTCAACTCAGTGGAATAAAATCTCTCTCCAAAGTGTTTTCTATGAGCATGCGAATAGGCCGTCGAAAAGTGAATCATAGACTAGAAAATCACAGAGAAAAAATATCACACAAAGAATCGTCTGAAAGTATCCCATTTAAACTTCAATGTCTGTGGAAGGGAATGAGAACCATATTTTTTATCATATTTTTCATTCAATATTTCTCATCACGACTGATAAGTCGTGTGGCAACACGTACCTATGCCCTTCTCATTCATGACTGAAACTTACGGGATATAGCGACCGAGGATGGGTTCGGTTAGGTTCAGCAACTAAATTAACTCCGCAGCGAAGCGTAGGGTATCATGAAGACTTGAAGGCGTTCTCGTGATATTCGTCTCGAACTGTTCTTTTTATTTTTGTAAGTTAACTGGGTTTTTCAACTCTATTTCAATCAATCTCTTAATCGTTTTTTGCATTGCTTGAAGTTCGTATCTACTTCTTATCAATGAATAATGTACTCAAAGGGAGAGAAAATCATTGAAGAGTCGTTAAAAAAGATTTATCTCGTCCTAATTTTACGTAGGTACTCTTTTGTCGTGCCTGGGACGGCTCCATGGAGCTGTTTAGTTTTGTGCGCTCTTCAGCTGTATTAGTTTAAAACGGCAAAGCCAATAATAGGACTCAAGCGCAGTCGAACCTAGAAGACACCTGCAAAGTAAATCAAAAGGCACCCAGACGACCGGCCAAGAGATGAGAACAATTCTGCCTCTTTTCTTCCAGAGACAATAGAATATTTTTATTGTTGTTTTTGGACTTAGTGAGTTTTTGGAATACTGCTCTCTTTTTGGGCCGTAGTATATTGATTTGTTTTGCGAGGAAAGCTCCGTACTTTTGATGGATGCCTACCATTACTAATATATTAGAGCGCCTTCAGTTTCGTATGATACTGTGCAATACCTCTGGTGTGAAATAGTTGCTTCAAGCGCCGTGGCACGCTGCGGCGCGGCAGGCGGGCATCCAGTGTGAAACACGCATTGGCACCTACAAACCTAACAGGGATACTTCACGCGTTGCGCAATGCGTGAAGTATCCCTGTTAGGTTTGTAGGCGCCAGTGCGTCGCCGCTCCGCTTTGTGTTAGACTCTAATATTTAATCTGGCGGAGTCAGCGTTATTCAACTCATGATTTTGAAATGTTTGCACATCCTGTATGGATTATTCTCATTTTAATTGATGAAAAAAAAATGTATTAAAGGAAAATAGAATGTGTGTTTTGTAAATATTAAGGTGGTTCCGTATCAAACTTAATGATTTCCAAAGCACACGAATTTCTACGCAATTTCTTATAGCCTTTTATAATCGATGGCGAAAAAGCAATAGTCAGGCGATAAAATGTAAAGCCCGGCGATAGGAACTATAGCCCGTATAGCCCGGCCGTATGATTTTCTCCGCATTCTACAGCCAGTTATACGATTTTTTGTAGCCTTCTTCAGCCGGCTATAAGAATTCCTATGGTATTTTGAAACGCAGCTCTTATCGCCAATTTTTTACCAGGGAGACGTTATGCGTTGAGCGTTACTCTGATGAGCATATCCTTGCCGAAGGCAACACTATGCATGGCTATGCCAGAAATATGTGAAAAAACATCTCCAGGTCACGCTTCTTTCAAGTGGATCGTATTTTGCAGAAGGGAACCAAGGCGATTTAAGTATTTTCAAACTCCTGCAACTTTTTTCTTTCTTTAAAAAATACCAAATATATGCACGTGCAATAATAAGAGTGACGCGATCATCATACTTTAAAATTAACAATTTTATGGGAGACAAATGAAAACTGGACCGCGTTAAACAGAAAGGAACCAAGCCACATCAGCTATTTCCAAATTTAATTGGGCAATTTAATTTTTTATATGAAAACGGTTGTGTGGATTTCGTGCAAATCTCAGTGAAGATTCTCCATGGTACGAAGCAAATTCCTTAAAATTTTCAAGGAAACCCGAACAAATGTTCTCTCGTAAAAAATTTAATTGCCCAGTTAAACTTGGCAATAGCTGATGCGGCTTGGTTCCTTTCTGTTAAACTCGGTCCAACCATATTTACTATTCTATGCATTTTTCCCAAACGAAGATTAAAATGCACAATTTTTACAACACCGTAATCGCGTTTGGTCCCCTTTCTGCCAGTAATGCGATCTCGTTGCATGCTTACATATTTTCGCATACCTATCGTTTCGATGAGAAACGGTCGCCAGTCATTTTTTTTAAAGAATTTTTGTACTAGTCGCAGCTGTAAATGAGACCATGACGACTCTTAACGTTCTGTCTTTCACTCATTGTCAGTACTTTTACTGCTCAACTTTATTTGCCCTCGTCATTGGTTTTTTTCTTTCGTGATTTTATTTTAAAGGTAAGATACCGATCGAGATTTCTTCCTTCTTTTAAAGCAAATGCTGGATGATTTTCGGGACACAAACCTTTAGTTGTGGCATTTTTCGAGCCATTTCCAGAAGAAATTTGGTCGCGGTAACGTTTGTCTGATACGCGTATCGCAAGTGCTCGTCCATTCGAAGCGACGCGGCGGCGTGGAATATAATGTGCACCTCTCGCATTAATTTGTCGTAATCTGCATCAGAGAGTCCTATTCTGTCTTCACTCATATCTCCCTCGACTAGCTCCACTTTCGAGAGGTAGTTCGGGGTCTGCTCCTTCATTTTTTCGAAGAGCTGTTGGACAATTAAACATATAAAGCTAGAAAATAGTTTGTTTTTCCAAGGGGTTCTTTCACTAGAGTTCAGGGGTGCAGAAACTCCCCAGACATGATCACGCCCCGCTCGTGTATAAAAAGGGCAAAGCTTTGAAAATTGGAAATGCCAGTTCGCAAATCGCGCTTTTAATTCGAAAATAGCGGTGAAATTTGCGTAGGTGAATGTATTTTACAAAATCGCCGCAATTTGTGTAAGGGAGATTTCACGATAATGGGAATATTCGTGTCGCCAGTTTGTTTTTTAGTGTTTTTAGAGATATGGAACAATTTAATCGAGGAGGAATACAACTGTTGTTGAAAATCTTTTAAAGCTGTGACTCTGCATTGATTCATGCAAAAAATTGTGAGAAATTATCGTTGTAGAGACTTTTAGACCGTAGAATCTTATGTGTTGGCTACGTAACCGACCAGGGCCGGATTTACCCTCTTGCCACCCATGGGCCACTTGTATTTTGCCGCCTTTTCTCATTCGTTTTGAAACATCGATACAAACCGTCAAGTGAACGTGCCAGAGGAGGAGGGGTGCATAAGACTCGTTTACTCATGTTGGGCACATTTTTTGTGAAAGCCCTGTCAACACTAGCAAAAGTTCCCGGAACTTTGCGCAAACGTTAAGTTTCGTAAACCTATATCTCCGAGTGGACAAGGCCTTCCGTTTATAGGAAATGAACGAAAAAATTATGAAAGAATAAATATGAATGTGGTTTAATAATTTTAATCTCCGCCACCGCGCCAACCGCTCTGTTTTTGGCGCAATGCGTTATAGTCTTGTAGGCGCTATGCGTTTCACACCGACCGCTACTGACCGCACTGTTTTTGACGCAATGCGTGAAGTATTCATGCAGTCTTGTAGGCACTGTGAGTTTCACGCCAACCGCTGCTGACCGCACTACGTTTGACGCAATGCGTGAAGTATTCATGGAGTCTTGTAGGCGCTAATATGTGTTACATGCCGACCGGCGCGCTGAGGGATTCTCCTTTTCATCTCAAGTCCTCGCCATCATTGCTCTCTGCGCCGCACCGTTCCAGGCTAAATAGCGTGTTTGGTTTCTCTCGTAGCCCGACTAATTAAAGGTGCTGTCTCTTGTGCCACCAACAGACAACAAAATTAGAAATTACTATACTCTCAGGATATTAAAGATTTTGTCGCCTTTTCTAGTTTGTAATTTTTTTCCTGAATCCGATTTTTTTTGTTGATACCTACATTTGAAAAAATTGCAACATTTGCCGCCCCTTGAATTTGCCGCCATGGGCCGCGGCCCATATGGCCACCCCCTAAATCCGCCCCTGTAACCGACAGGACTTTTACGGTCTAAAAGTTTTAGTGATGCAAATTTCTCATTATCTTTTGCATGAATCTTATGCAAGTGTGCAAACAAGGCGATTCCCAATGACAATTATGTTCTTTTCGATTAATTAGTTTCATTGCCTCGAAGATACCTGAACATGAATTATCGTGAAATCATCCGTACGCAGGCCAAGCCAAGCCAGTGTTTGGAGAAAAGAGCCGGCCGGAAAAATTGGGAGGCCGAGAACTTTCTGCACCCGTGGGCAAGGGTAATCACGCTCTATGAACGATCAGAATAGGGGTAGTTGAGGCACTTCTCATAGTACCTACTACCGTGATTCATTGCAATCTGTGCTACTGGGGGGTGTTAAACTGAGTATGACAATAACAATAATGATGATTAAATACTAATTTGACTTCGGTTTCCTCTTGCATCACTCTGTATTATTTTTTTTCTTTTTTTTCCGAGAACATTAAGGAATATTCACTTGAATATTAAAGGCAAAGAGTATCATTCTTGTACTTATATTAACGTTCGGTCAATGGAAGTTCGGAGAGCGGACGGTTGAGGTCGATGACCAAGATAACTCATTACTTATACATGCGTCGGCGTTTTGTCGGTGGCGGACCGCATGTGAAGATCTGCGACGCATAAATGGACGTATTTATGCTAAATGGAACTATGTTCCACGCAAAACCGCGGGCACATACTTCCTTTTAGCACAAATACGTCCAAATACGTAGGGAGAACGAATATGACTTGGATTGCATTTTGCAAAAAGGAAACAAGAGCATTCCGCTGTCGGTAAGATTGTGCAACTTTTTTTTACCTCGCAAATATACCCTGCTAAAAATGATGAGTGGGCTATTCAGAATTCGCCGACTCACATGAGTAAAATTTCCTACTTATATGAGTAGAAATCCTACTCATATCACTAGAATATTCTACTCATAAGAGTAGAAAAGTTCAACTCATATGAATTAAATTTTTTTCATTTTTCAGAAGTGGTGTTTTCGACCAGGAGACACCGCAACGTAAATTGTAAATTTGAAAAATAAGTACATTTTGTTCTTATAATTTTTTGGATGCGGTAACTAGTTTCTGAGATATCGGACACGGTAGATTCAACGCTGAACTCCTGTGAGTTGAAATCTCTAGTCATATGAGTCGGCGAAAAGTGAATAGAGAAATTCTGCTCACATGAGTTAAATTCTATACTCATATAAGTTGAAATTCTATTCATATGAATTGAAATTCTATTCATATGACTTAGATTTTCTACTCATTTGTACTCACCATTTTTAGCAGGGTAAACTGATCATCCAAAAAAGTTTTATCTTTACCTACTTCCAAGAAACTATAAATTCAAGATGAAAATTACCTTTGTACTCAAAATTCAATTTTTTTATGATTTCAGTAATTTTATTGCACAACATTAATGCTCTTTGTTGCTTTTTGCAAAATGTAATCCAATTGAACCGTTTAGTTTTCGTCACCAGTTCATCAACTGTATTAATTCAGTTCCTCTAATGTTCTACCACTTTATCTCAGATTGCTCCTGTCAGGCTGCGGAAGTGTTCAATTTTACGGAACGAAACTCAGCAAATAATATATAATAATATTATTATAAGCAATAATATTATAGCAATAATATTTTCAATTTTTACATACCAAATCGTTGAATTGCTCTTTCATCCGCTCCGAAGGCGTCTTGCCTCGTTTTGGACGCATCAAGAGGTAAATTTTGTTCACACCTCCACATGTCCTGTAAGAGTAATTCCAACAATTCAGCAGCTTTACGCAATAATTTAACCCCGTCTTGAGGGATAAATGAGTCCTTTACGGACTCATAGGTGGAAATAGGGGGGACCTGCCCTCCCCAAAAAAATGGCCCCACCCAAGAAATGTGACGGATTTTGCTAAGTAAGTGGACGACGTCGATGGCCAAAGTGTGAAACCACGTATCTCCATTTGCGACGTTGCAGACTTCAAAATTTTTTTCAAAATATAAAGTTTGCTTGTTTCACCTCGACAAAATGAAACAGGAGCGGAAATTTTGAAACGCCGCGATGAAGATACGATGTGCCGCACTTTGGTCGTCGATATCTTCCATCTGTAAAATTTTTGGAATTGGATCACTTTTTCCTAGAGAAACTCAAAATTGCTTCTGAGACGACTCAATTTTCCAAGATTTTCTGGAGGATCACCGAGGAAAAAGATTGGTAGAATTTGCCGTTCCTTCACGCTGTATTTCACACGGCGGCAATTCAGAGTCAATTCTGCCAGAAGAAAGGTAAATGTAACCATTCCTCTGTGAGAATTGACTTTGAATACACGCTGTGTAAAATACAGCGTGAAAGGAACGGTAAATTATATCAATCTTTTTTTCTCGATGATCCCTGCAAAGCCAGGGGAAGTCCCCGAACACTCCTTTGGGGCTAGGAGGGTCCCGCAGCCACAGGCAGACCCCCTTTCGTTGGGTATTTTTTGTGCCCCTTGAACCTCTTTTAACGAAGTACTCTTCTGCCCCCCCCCCCCCCCCCNCGAAAAGTTCCTGGTTCTTTCCATACCCAGGTTGAGCGAGTCACCTCAGAGTTGAGCGGAGTTTATTCGGTTAAACCTCTGAAAAATTGGTAGGGAAACTCTGGTACCCGGTAAAAATCCAACCTCAATTACAGCTGACTGAATCAATGATTAAAGAGCTACCGGTTCATATTTAGAGTTTAACCTGCATTGAAAGACGGCGAAATAGCGCGGTTTCCCGAAACCGGTTTTAAGATCTCGTAGACACAGTTGTATTACTAGTAATTTTACTCAGAGGTAGGGAGAGGAGACTCCAGTCAAAAATTTCTTACGATGGGTCAAACCCTGGTAAAAATTGGCAGTAGAATCTGTGTTCCAAAATACCATAGACCTATAGCCGGCTGTAAGATTTCCAATAGCTTCTACAACCGGCTACACAATTTCTTATAGCCTTTTATAGCCGATGGCGATTAAGCAACAGTCAGGCAATAAAGTGTATGCTAAACGTTACTAATTACGGACGCTAGGGCTTAGTGAGTTTTTGGAATACTGCTCTCTTTTTGGGCCGTAGTATCTTGATTTATTTTGCGAGGAAAGCTCCGTACTTTTGATGGATGCCTGCCATTACTAATATATTAGAGCGCCTTCAGTTTCGTATGATACTGTGCAATACCTCTGGTGTGAAATAGTTGCTTCAAGCGCCGTGACACGCTGCGGTGCTGCAGGCGGGCAGCCAGCGCGATCAAACGCGCATTGGCGCCTACAAACCTAACATGGATACTTCACGCATTGCGCAACCTAACTCGAGGTATCCCTGTTAGGTTTGTAGGCGCCAGTGCGTCGCCGCTCCGCTTTGTGTTAGGCTCTAATATTTAATCTGGCGGAGTCAGCGTATCCACATCCTGTCTACACCACATCCTGTCCACATCTATGCACATCCTGTATGGATTATTCTCATTTTAATTGATGAAAAAAAAAATGTATTAAAGGAAAATAGAATGTGTGTTTTGTAAATATTGAGGTGGTTCCGTATCAAACTTAATGATTTCCAAAGCACACGAATTTCTACACAATTTCTTATATCCTTTTATAATCGATGGCGAAAAAGCAACAGACAGGCGATAAAGTATAAAGCCCGGCTATAGGAACTATAGGCCGGCTGCCTAATTTTGTATCGCTTCGTATAGCCCGGCCGTATGATTTTCTCCGCATTCTACAGCCAGCATACGATTTTCTGTAGCCTTCTTTAGCCGGCTATAAGAATTCCTATGGTATTTTGAGACGCAGCTCCTATCGCCAATTTTTACCAGGGAAAGTAAATTTTTTTGAAAATCACGAAAAATTACGTTCCTATCTTGGGAACATTTATCGGTGAAGATGGGGGGGGGGGGAGGCCAGTCCCTCTAGACAAGTAACATGTGGAATATTGTAAAATTCAAATCTTTTATCGATTTGAGAAAGTGAACATGGTGGTAGCTTTATTTTTAATAACTTTGCAATGATCTCTTTGAATAAAATTAGCGGAGGTGATAAGGCAACGTACTTATCTGGTAATTTTTTTTAAAAAAAATAAAACAAAACTAAAATAACTACCACGAAAACAAAAGATTCTTAGTGCATTATGATTTTGCCAAGTTGATATCGGTAGTTTTAGGATATCAAAGTCGTGCAGCATGAAAAATGTATGTCCTCCATGTATTGCTTTTGCTCCAGCCAGTTTTGAAAACATTTGCTTTAAATAAACCCCCCTCATAGGTGGAGCCAGGGGGGTGGGAGGTGAGGGGCCTGCCCTCCAGAAATCTACTTGGCCCCTCCAAAAAAATGTGCAAGTTCCCGATTAGAAAATGCAAGAGGTTAACTTATCGTTAATTTTTTGAAATTGGAATTGGATCAATTTTTCAACGAGACTAGCTGAAAACTGCTCCTGAGACGACTCAATTTTTCCAAAGTTTTCGGGTCGGGGGAGGCTCTTCGAAGCTATGGAAACCCCCGGACTCCCCTGCGGGGCTACGATAGTCCCGCAGTCTCGCTTTAGTTCAAAATCCCCCACATTGCTTGTGAGGAGCCATATGTAGATATCTGCGGAGCAGGCCTCCCACCCCCCTAGCTCTGTCCATGAGAGGGGGGGGGGTGTAATTGGACCAGATTTTTTTTAAAACTGACTGCAGCAAAATCATCTCGTATAACATCTCATTATTAATGACGCGTAATGAAAAAAGAGAAAAACATTAAAATAAAACGAGGACAGAGAAACAGCATTGAAAGAAGACAGCCACCTACATAGTTTTTTGTTTGTTTGCCTGTTAATTTTTAATTGTTTGGTCTTTTTTTCTTCCGTCCGAATAACATTTTCTCGGAGAGAATTTTTTTCCTTTTTTTCAGTAGCTTTTTGCACCTGTTGGAGGTAGGCGCCTAATCGAAAAGAATTCCCAAAAAAATTTAAGTCAACGCGTTTACCTGAGCAATTTCTCCAGTAAAACTTTTCCGAAAAAACCAGAGCCACCCGTTATCAATATATTTTTGCCCTTGTAAAACTCCAAAATCGGAGAGTCATCTTGGGTAACTTTCTTTGCAGTTAGCAGCTCCAGATCATCTCTGTTATCGAAGTAATCCATCCTTGTGTCCCCTTCGCTGTTATTGATCGCTGCACGGAAATTAAAATATCCCGTTGATTTTCTTTAAGCTCCGCATCCACAGTCAATCCAAACGCGAATTCCCCCTCCAAATTCTCGTCACTTATATCGCAAAAAATTTGCGCCCGCTATCGAACACGGAATGTTCTTAATTTGCCTCTCGAAGGCGGATAAAACGTGCATTATATGTTCAAGATTCACACCAGTAAAACAAGTGAAGTTAAATGCTTTTAGCTTGTGAAAAACGCGCGAACAATAGAAAAGGAGCACAAGTTGGACTTAAAATGCTCTTTGACTAAAATTAATCGGTCGAAGAAACGGGGGATGTGCGACGAATTTTGACTTGACACTTGTAACACTCCGACCGAAAATGGATGATGTTTGCGGGATGTTGGTTCAGAAAAACACACACGTCCAAAAGAAGGGAAAACACTTAAAAAACAGTATTCAGTCTCAAAACTTTTTCTCCACCACAGATTTAGAAGCCGATGGAGTTGGGTGCGAGTGAAGACTGACTATCGATCAACGATCGAAACCCGCGCGAAGCAAATCAACAGCCAATAGAAAGCGTTTGTTGCGAGTAATCGGAATCGATGCGTCTGATTGGCTCTTGCGCCGCTGAACGCGGGTTCGTGTGGCGGATGTGCCTCAGTTCCCGAGCAGAGAACAATCTAGGGATGGCGATTTTTTCAAATGAATCGATTTCGGAAAATCGATACGATTTGAAAATCGGATGGAAAAATCGATTTTTTTGGAAGTCGGTTTTAAAACACTTGAAATTCCAAGTTCGGCGCCAAAAACTTAACTACTACCTACTGAAACTGAATTTGAAATGAAACTCGGGTTTCACAGACAGAACCTAGGTCTCATGTGGCACATTAACGTAAGAAATTTCGATTTTTTTTTTCAATAATTCGATTTCGGCTCAAACAATCGATTCCGATTTTTATCGACCTCGAAAAATCGATCCGATTTAATCGATGTTTCGGCGCAAAAAATCGATTAAAAATCGCCATTACGAGAGAGCATTGTGCCGGAAGCGGAAATCATGGATGTTCCGTCCGTTGGCGTTTGCGGTGTGGAAAATTCACATCCAGTCTCGAAGATTCGCTTCCGAGAAACCTCATTACGTTGACGTTGGCGGGTGCCAAGGCGTTAGTTCTGCGTCCAGGCAACGGACTTGACCGGAAGCGCTTTTGACTTCGTAATGCTTTCTTTTGTTTTTTTGGCCAGAGACTTGCGCCGAGCTGGGTCAGCGGGTCAACCAACCGGGTGCCCTCGTCCTACTAGGCGACTTTCTCCTGGGAGGAAGTAAGCTCAGAGATGCGCAATGGAATTTCACGCAACATAAAAATAATTTTTGCCGACTGAGAGTTTTATAAAAAATTTTCGAGTTTAGGAACTTTCAAGTGTAACTCATGATAATTTTTTAATGTTTTTCCCTCTTCAAAATCTTATCTTACTCCACAGGGTGATCCAGGGTTAAACGGCCTGACTGCAGGAGCCGAAACACCCCCAAACTCCCTCTTAAAATTGAGATTTCAATTTTTTTTAGATCATTTATGAATTCAGGGCATAAAAGTACAGGAGAGTACAAATTTTCATTAGATTTATGGTTCATAACCATCGCCAAAATTCAGGAAAAACGATTCACTTACTTTTCGATTTTTTTTTGGGGGGGGGGCGTAGCTCCGACTGGGGGAACCTTTAAAAAAAACTTTATACAACTAAAAAGTCTTATTTTGACTCCTAGAACCCGCTCTTGCAGTCTGGCCGTTTAACTCTGGATTCTGTATTACTGTAATACCCCGGTATCCGCGGATCCGCTTATCCGCGATCGAATTTTTGCGGCCTTAACCCGCTATCCGCGACTCCGTGACTCGCTTATTCGCGATGGGGGAAGAGAATCTTGGCAACATGAATGAAATGACGGTGGGAAGGTTGTCATGGAAGTGAAGCACCAATTGATAAGGTTTTCCTTTTCCTGATGAAGGAGAAGGAGAAGAAGAGGAAGAGAACTTGCTCCAGCTTCATCTTAAAAATCTAAGCGAGTTCATAAGAAATGTCCAAAACGTTGGTGAGGAAGCACCTCGTTTTCGCATCGATCCGCACATGGAAAGGGCACTAAATTTCAAACGAGGCCTCAGCAGTCTACTCCTTCCATACATTGAAATACAAAAAGATCTACGGCGTAAAATGAAACAGCCAACTCTAGTGACTTTCTTCCGCAAACCATAGGTGCATGTAAGCATTTTTCACTTGACATGCCCCCTAACCTTTCATTTTCCATAAGACTAATGCCCCCGTATCCGCGAATTCGGTATCCGCGAGGTTTTCGCGGAATGTAACCCTCGCGGATACCGGGGTATTACAGTATAAAATTAGAAGCTTCTTATCTTACTCTTCTCACTCTATTATAAAATCATAAGCTTAGTAAGCGTAAAGCTTGAGGACCTAACGTTGGGCGTATCCGCTACCATTGCATGCCATTGCATCCTCCCCTAGTGCGGCATTCTGTGCCGATTTCAGGGAAGTTTTATGTTGACCAGCTTCTGGAAAGAAAAATAAAATTTCTAAGGAAGTCTGCAACGTCGCAAATGGAGAAACGTCGTCTCTCATTTTGCCCAAAAATCTGTATGTATAAAATTGAAGGCATTATGACTGGCCTCTCTCAACTTATATTCGTCTGTAACGATAAACAATGGGACGCGCTTGCTACGGCGCCTTGATACAACTATACAACCTCGACGGATGTCCGTATTGCGTTCAAAAAATTGAAGGCGTTTTGACTTCCTACGCATAATACCTGTAGTTAATTCGATCGACAAACGCGTTGGTCGGCGGTGAAGGGGACTTGATGCGACTATTTAAGCTTGTTGCATGACGTATCGGTCCGACTGAAATGCGAAACCACGTATCTCCATTGCGGTGTTTCAAAATTTCCGTTCTTAATTCATCTCTTCCATGAGAAACAATCCAAATTTACGACCTTAAATTTTGAACCAAATCTTCTGCTACCGAATACGAAAATTCATGGAGAATTTAAGTTTTATGTTGAGCAGCTTCTGGAAAGAAAAATAAAATTTCTAAGGAAGTCTGCAACGTCGCAAATGGAGAAACGTCGTCTCTCATTTAGCCCAAAAAAATGTATGTATAAAATTGAAAGCATTATGACTGGTCACTCTCCACTATTATTCGTCTGTAACGATAAACAATGGGACGCGTTTGCTACGGCGCCCTGATACAACTATACAACCTCGACGGATGTCCGTATTGCGTTCAAAAAATTGAAGGCGTTTTGAGTTCCTACGCATAATACCTGTAGTTGATTCGATCGACAAACGCGTTGGTCGGCGGTGACGGGGACTTGATGCAACTATTTAAGCTTGTTGCATGTCCGTATCGGTCCGACTGAAGTGCGAAACCACGTATCTAAATTGCGGTGTTTCAAAATTTCCGTTCTTAATTCATCACTTCCATGAGAAACAATCCAAATTTACGACTTTAAATTTTAAACCAAATCTTCTGCTATCGAATACGAAAAATCATGGAGAATTTAAGTTTTATGTTGACCAATCATGAACTGACGGTTCATCCCATCTCCAACCTAATATGCAATAGTTTTGAACCTAATCTTTTTGTCGAATTTGAAAACAATTTACTCCCCCGATTTACAGCTTTTTTGCTTCATAGGAGCCCCTCCGTTATCCCTCCGGCCCGACCGGAAGCCCGCGCCGAAGAACCGCAAGCTGCATAGAATCGACGGTGGCCGGACTTTCCGGGTCTGGTACTACGTGGGGACGAGCTGCAACACTTCCCGCAGACGGCCGAACGTTCCGAGACAGCCATCAGCATGGCCGGATTCACCTACTTGCCGCCCATGGGCCGCCTTTATTTTGCCACTCCCTTCTCACTCGTTTTGAAACTCGATAAAAACCATCAAATGAACGTGTCAGCGGAGGAGGGGTGCATAAGACCCATTTACTCGTGTTGAACACATTTTTTGGGAAAGCCCTGTCAACACTACTAGCAAAAGTTCACGGAACTTTGCGCGAAAGTTAAGTTCCGTAAACCTATCTCTGTGTGGACAAGGCCTTCCATTCATAAGAAATGAACGAAAAAATTATGAATTAAGGACAAACATAAATGTGGATCAATGATTCTAACTTCCACCGCCGCGCCGCGCAGACCGCACTGTGTTTGGCGCAATGCGTGGAGTATTCGTGCAGTCTTGTAGGCGCTAATATGTGTTACAAGCCGATCGCCGCGCCGAGGGCTTCTCCTTTTCATCTCAAGTCCTCGTTATCATTTCTCTCAAAGTCGCGCCGTTCCAGGCCAAATTGCGTGTTTGGTCTCTCTCCTAACTCGACTTATTGAAGGTGCTGTCTCTTGTGTCACTAAGAGACGACAAAATTAGAAATTACTATACTCTGAGGAAATGAGAGATTTTGCCGCCTTTTCTCGTTTGTAATTTTGTTTTTATAAATCCGATTTTTTTTAATCTTTGAAAAATTGCAAATTTTTGCCGCCCCTTAGATTTGCCGCCATGTGGCCACCCCCTTAATCCGGCCCTGGCCACCGGACCACCTCCACCGTCTTCGTCGACGTTGCCGTCCACCACCAACCAGGATCCCGCCGGTCAACATCCGGGGTCAGCGCCGGGCCATCCCTCCGTGAAGATTGAGGACGAAGAAGTCAATACCCCTGACCAACGAACATCAGCGGTGCCGGAGGATAAATTCCGGAGGTGGACTCAGCAAGAAACAGAAGAGCTGAAGGAAGTGTTCCGAGAGTTCCTGGCTGACGACCGGATGCCCAACCGGGCCGAGATCCTTACGCGGATAGGCCTAGACATGTGTCCGCAAGGTAGATCCCTTGCCTCCATCCGCGACCAACTTTTCAGGAACCGATAGGCCTCTTGCCTTGGCGCATTTCTGCACTCCTTCTCAAACTTTTATTTTTTTTTCATATTACCTCTTTAATCTTATTATTCTAATAACTATTAATATGTACCAAAATAGGAAGTGAGAACTATCACAAGTAAAATTCTTGTCAAAATCCCACCTCGAGTTCCGCATCGAGGAATGGTGTTAAGTATTTTTTTTTAATATTCTGTCAACTGTATCTCGATTTGTATTTTATTTTGTTTTGTATCCATGTATGTAAATAATTGAAAAAAAGGAAGAAAGAAAAGGAAAAAAGAAAGAAAATAAAAGCTGTATCTTGATTTGTACTTTTATTTTAGTTTTGTATCCATGTACCTAAGTAAATAATTGAAAAAAGAAAAGAAAAAAAAGAAAAAAAAAGAGAAATAAAAAAGAAGAAGAAAAAGAAAGCAAGAAAGAAGAAGAAAAGAAAGAAAAGAAAAACGTAAAGTAAAAATAATGGAAAGAAAGAAAACAGCAAATAATTGAGAAATGTAAAAAAAATTAATAAATTAATAAATTAAAAAATTAAAAAATAAAAAAATAAAAAGAAACTAAAAAAAATGAAGAACACTGAAAACATAATGAAACTCGGCCTGAGTTCCTCAGCCGGTTCTTAGCCCAGGTTAAGGAGGGCGACATTTTTTACAAAACAACGCAAGGCACACTGGAGGAGGATGTCATTGACAACCAACCCGCCGTGTGCCTTGCACACCTATTTCAAATTATTCCACGACGTCATAAATGGATCGCAACCGTAACCAACGGCTGTTATCGATTGTTTTTTTTTTTTTTTTTTTTTTTTTTTTTTTTTTTTTTTTTTTTTTTAAAGAAATTTTATTTAAATATATCGTAACTACTACAAGTGTTTCTTGTATCTATCTACGTGGCTTAAAACTAAAACTTAATTTTATATGTTAACGTTAGATAATACTATGATTATCTAAATTAACGTTAGATAATACTATGATTATCTAAATTAACGTTAGATAATACTATGATTATCTAAAAGATAATACTATGATTATCTAAAAGATAATACTATGATTATCTAAAAGATAATACTATGATTATCTAAAAATACTATGATTATCTAAAGATTGTCTGTTTACTTTTATTATTTTACATAAGTGAAGTCATCGCACTCATAAAGAGGCACTTTGCGGATGTATAGTGAATGAGACGAAATATTTCTTGCATTTATCCAGACCCACTGTCTTCCTTCCGCTTCTTCCACGTGGACAAGGAGGTTCTTCCTGCGCATCTTGACTCACGGACATAACAATGAATAAACAATGCATTTGCTTTTTGAAAAAATGCGTTTTCTACCTGAAATATTTCGAAAATATGCTGTCATGAAGTTTCGACGTCACAACCGTCACAGGTGTTTTTGTTCGTCAAGACGACCACGGGGGGGGGGGGGTAGCCAAAATCGCTACGAAACGTTCCATTCCATCGAGTGAAGTGTTCACATCAACATATTATGATCGTGCAGCACTGCCTGAATTTAGAATATTCTGGAAGGATTTAAAACGCAAAGACTCAATTTAACTTGTTTGTGTGTCACGACCGTCACGCTTTTTATTTTTGAAGCGTGTGATATTCTGAAAAATCTTGGTGCCCACTTTACGCACAGTACTTACTACCAGTTGCACGTGTACCGACTTCCCTGGTAAAAATTGGCGATAGGAGCTGCGTTCCAAAATACCATAGGAGTTCTTATAGCCGACTGAAGAGGGCGATAGAAAATCATATAGCTGGCTGTAGAAAGTGGAAAAAATCAGGCCGGGCTACACGAAGCGATGAAAAATTATACAGCCGGGCTATAGTTCCTATCGCCGGGCTTTACACTTTATCGCCTGGCTGTTGCTTTTTCGCCATCGGCTATAACAGGCTATAAGAAATTGTGCAGAAATTCGTGTGCTTTGTAAATCCTTAAGTTTGTGCGGAATCACCTTAATATTTACAAAACGCACATTATATTTTCCTTTACCACATATTTTTTTTTCATCAATTAAAATGAGAATAATCCATACAGAGTGTGCAAACATTTCAAACTCATGAGTTGAAAAACGCTGACTCCGCGAGATTAAATATTAGAGCCTAACACAAAGCGGAGCGGCGGCGCCTACAAACCTAACAGGGATACTTCACGCATTGCGCAATGCGTGAAATATCCCTGTTAGGTTTGCAGGCGCCAATGCGCGTTCAGCGCTGGCTGCCCGCCCGCCGCGCCGCGCCCCGCGCCGCAGCGTACCACGGCGTTTGAAGCAACTATTCCACACCAGAGGTATTGCACAGTATCATACGAAATTGAAGGCGCTCCAACATATTAGGAATGTCAGGCATCCTTCGAAAGGACGTAGTTTTCCTCGCAAATTAAATCAAGATACTGTGGCCCTAAAAGAAAGCGGTAGTCCAAAAACTCACAAGTCCAAGTCCTAGCATCCGTAATTAGTAACGTTTAGCATACACATTATCGCCAGGCTGTTGCTTAGTCGCCATCGGCTATAAAAGGCTATATGAAATTGTATTGCCGGCTATAGAAGCTGTTGGAAATCTTACAGCCGGCTGTAGGTCTATTGTATTTTGGAGCACAGATTCTACTGCCAATTTTTACCAGGGTTTTGAGATTGTACTTTATTTCTGTAATTTATAGGTACCCGCCATTTTTGGTCAAATTTGTCACACCGCATAGGATATTTTGCGTGTAAAATGAAGGGGGGGGGGATGCTGATTAACAAAAGGTGCCCGTATTACATTTTTAAGCCTAATACTGTACTTGATTAGGAAAACAAACCCTCAATCCAAAATAATCAAGTTGAATAATTAGTTTTTTGGAGGTTGAATTAGACAGTTTTCGTAGAATTGGTCATATTGACGGTGAAAATTCCAAACCACGTTATTATCTCGGTTTGCGACGTCGCAGACTTCCTGTCATACTTTATTTTTTAAATGGAAAACTACGCAATGTCAATTCTTAAAAACTTACGTGATTTTTCTTCTCTGTGCAAAGCAAGTTCTGAGAAAATTTCAAGGAATGATGATGCTTTGTTCTTCTTTAAAAATATGGCAGGAGCGGATATTTTTAAACACCGCGAATGAGATACGTAGTTTGGTAGTTTCACCGTCGCGTCGATATGCGTTTCGCGCCGAGCAGCGACCACACTGTGTTAGGCGCAATGCGTGAAGTATTCCTCCAGTCTTGTAGGCGCTAATGTGCCGGGTGTAGTTCCTCGTTTTAAAATTAATTTCGTTTCATTAGTTTTAGGCGTTTCGTGGCCTCCTGCATCTGTTTTGAGAAGAATCACAAAATTTAAGGAAATTTTGCGTTTCTGGCTATAAGCTATGTACAACCTTGGAAATAAATTATCCCCCATACTTTTTATGTGCGTTCAACGAGTTATCATTTTTGAGGAAATGGGATCATTATCTTATAGGGCAGAAATCTACCTGGCCTCCTCCAGAAAATGTAAGGGATTTTGCGAAACAGCGTGATATTTCTGCCATCTTAGAACTTATGTGTTTAATCAATTTTTCAGTGAGAACATCTTGATTTTGCTCTTTAAGACTTTCAATTTTCGAAATTTTCGGGGAGGGTTTCCCCGTGGACCTATCCCCATCTAGACCTATGGGAGCCCCCTACTAAAACAACGATTATTGTTAGGAAATTTACAACAACAACAACAACAACAACAAAATATCCTCTCAACCTACATGATTGCAATATTGCAACTTTCATTTATAGATTCTAAACTATGGGTTGTATTCATAGCTGTTCCTTAGATGTTAAGATTTTTTTAACTGATGCACTAGTAAATCTTATGTTTTAGGAGGCCTCAAAAATTAAGGAACAACTACAAAACGATCCTCAGTCCAAAAAGGAACAGAAATAAATTCAACTTCTAAAAATAACTTTCTGGTTAATTTTCATTTTATTACCTCTGCTGTTTTTTTTTCTTCATAAAATTAGAGTTTAACACTTTTTTTAAACATACTACACTGATAATAGGTATTTATAATATACTAGTTCCATACAGTGACATCATTCCAAGTAAAAAAGTAATTTCCAACAAATGGGTAAAAAATTAGAATTTAAAAAAAGAAAATAGAACAAATGAATATTACAATAACGGCATCAACAAATCGTTGGATTAAGGGAGCAGAAGAAGAATAGACTCATCTAATGTAACCGTAGAAAAGAGAAGTAGATACAACAACAATAATTGACAGAGTACTTACGCTTAATTTAAATTTGATCAGGTGAGGAGAAGTTTAGAGAAAAACACATATTTACATCCAGTCAACACCTTATGGTACGGTTATACAATGTGGCAAACAAAATATGTTACAGCATATGGATTGAATATATTTGCCTCTCAGTTAACAGGAAATTTAAAAATAAGTTCCTTGGTTTTATCCATCCTTTATGTGCAGAGATACAATAAACTATTTCGATGTATCATTCATGAGCAGAATTCCGCCTCAGCATCACGATGCAACGAGTTTTGCTGTTATTTACTATTTCAACTTTTTCCAGCTGGGGGAAAAAACTTCTAAGGCAAATTAGAAGACCCTTATAAGAGACCAAAAAACCTCATGTCTGTTTGCTAAATTTTTACTGAAGACTAGAAAACTTAATGCTACATAATGTAACACCTGGTATTTTTCTCCAAAGATAGAAATTTTTGGTCGTCCTCTTTTATTCAAGATTTTAATCCAGGAAAGTTGATCGCCTGCACTATATTATCACTAAAAAAGGATCGAAAGGATGCATTATGCAAAAGAAGCTTATTTACTTTGGGAGACCAAGGTAGATTAACTTCCTTGGCGTAAATAAGTCTATTTGTAATACAAATTTCAATCAGTTCCATCTGGCACATTTTCCCCCTTTCTTGAAAACAAAATACAAAAAGAATCAGCTAATCTCTGAAATGCATCTATCTATAATAATACAGCTTTGGCAGGAAAGAGTAAGATGGAAGATACATAGGCTGCAGAATCAAAAGAAGAAAAGTGGCAACCCTTTCGTGGCTCTTGGGTAAGACAAGTTAAGAATCACTACCCTTAATTTTTCATTGAGTAATTTGACTAGGTTAATAAAGGAAGATTGAGGTAAAGTAAAAGTGATGAAAGAAAATTGGTCTTGATGCACTTCCCTTTAGATCCGCAATGTTTGGATGCGAAAAAATTTAAGGTTTCTTCAGCATCTTTAGCAGGAGAATCCTTTAATTAACTTTATCTAAAACTATAGTAGAGTTTTTTTTTATGTATTTAAAGGACAATTTGGCAAGAGGAAATTATTTTACTTAAAGAAAGAGGTGAAAGGTATTTAAAACCACAGTAGAAAGGAAAGAAAAAATACATTTTCAGCAGTTTCTTGGAATGTCAAAATGTATAACTTTCAATTGCGAAAACTATGAAGAACAAAGATTTTTTGAACATAAGATAAACATTCTTCTACATAAGTATTGAAGCAGTTTTTTGTGCAATTTTTTTTCTTGGTGATCTATAGTATGTTGGAGTAGACAATTTATTTCAGCAGGGCAAATGAGTGTGAGGTGTGTTACATATTGTTCCAGAGTGAAGATAATTTGCTGAAAGTGAAATTAAAAGACTGCAAAATTGGGGAAAAGTCATTCTGCTACATCCATTTGGTGGCAATACTGTTGAATCAATTTCAAATTAGGAAAAAAATTGCTTTATCTAAATTGACTTATTTTAACAATAAAGAGCTTCGTGTTCTTTAGATAAACTTTAATTTATTTGATTGATTTAATTTCAATTCACTACTATCTATGATCCAAAAGGAATTGAGAGATTCAAGAATAAGAGATATCCTTAAAAGTTAAGGAAAATTAATGTTGCAAAGAATTAAATCGAACCTTTATATAGATAGTCACATTTCTTTTAAGCGACCAGGAGCATTGAGGTAAGGAACATAAGTTGGAGCATTCAAAAAATACAAATTTTAATGTACTGTGACACGATTGATCTCTGATGAAGTTAAGAGTAGGAAAAGTCACTAACAGCAATGAATCTTGCAATAAAGGGTCTCTCTTTTCAAGGCGCTATGACTTCTCTAACCTTCTAACAGTTGGACTGCATTTTGCAATTTGGAACTGTAAATTCTAGCTCCTCTAGAAAAACACTTAAGTGCATGGGGAAACTAATGGTACATATGTTGCTTTTAAACCGGGCTAGAATTAGTCGTATTTCGTTCGAAACAACAAATTGTTTCTGTTTTTTTTCTTCTTGTTTCTTTTGCGTGATTCTGAACAACCAATGAGAAAGCGAATTCCAATTTCAGGTTAGAAAACAGCATTGTCCTGGGCAACAACGTTAAAACGACTTGCTTCAGAGCTTGTTGCAGTTGTACAACAACGTTACTGTAGGGGTTCCCAAATTTTGCGCGCAAAAATAAGCCCCGCCCCCACAACATAAAACAAATTCGAACAAAATGCGATTGTTGTTTCTTTTCCCAACATGTTGCGAGTGTTGCTTCAGAACAAAATACGACTAATTGGACTACATTTTGCAATTTGGAACTATAAATTCTGGCCCGGTTTAAAAACAACGTATGTGCCATTAGTTTCCCTATGCACATAAGTGTTTTTCCAGAAGAGCCAGAATTTATAGTTCCGAATTGCAAAATGCAGTCCAATTTATAGTTCCAAATTGCAAAATGTAGTCCTGTTCAACTTCTTCATTCAAACAATTACTTAAGGGCAAATAGGAACACCCCATTCAATTTTAAGTAGAAAAAACTTTTAAGTACTAAACTGGAACATCAAAAGCTGGGAAGGTAGGAATTTTGACTGAAAGCAGAATTTTTGCCGCCTGCTACTGTTGCATTATTTCGGCTAGTAAAACTAGTGGCCTAGACAACGCAAATACTCGGAAGGTTGAAGGTTCCATTCCTTGTAAGTGGGTAAGGTATCATTAATTTATTTCCTGCTTTCTATGACTGATTAGGGTAAGCAAAAGAAGATAAATAAACTATGCTACTCCGATATTAGAAGCTGAAGATGTGCAAGTCTTTTAGTTTTCTTCGGTATAAAACATTTTTTCACTGGAAAACTTGCTTACTTCTTGTAGTTTTTGCTCTTTGCTTTATCTCATAAGTGTAAGATTTTACCATGAAATTATGACTAGCTACCTCTTGTTTCTTTACAACAAACTGCGTTGTATGAGAAGGGATTGAAACACCACACTGACGTTAGCCTCTAGTGCGTAAGCAGTCAATGTATTCCATCAGCTGATCGACTGCTTTAAAAACTCTTTCTTTATATTGCAATGTTATTGATTAATTTCATTACTTCTCCTCTAAATTTTCAATTTCTTCCCGGTTGAAAGAAATTTTTACTCAAAACTGAGACTTATGTTTTCTCTTTTTTTGGTCCAAGAGATTTTAAAAAATAATGATATACCCGTTCCAGCCTATCTTTTGGGAAGAAGCCGCACCATCGGTTACATAATATAAAGTTCGATAACATTTATACACCGAATTAAATAAATATTTACAAGAACTACAAGCAGAGCTAAGCACAGACAGCTGACCTGTTAGGACCGATTTCTTAGATCGACGGAATTTGTGACATCCAAATTCTTGTTGATGTTCTTTTCTTTTCAAAATTGTGCAAGTTAGGACGTTCCAGGTTAAGTGATTATTTGCCCTGGAAACAAATCACTTTCACCATAACTTTCAATTTTTCAGACTGAAATATCTGTAAGAGTTGATAATTAAGAAAAGAAATTTGCACAGAAGGCCAAGCCCTGCACCTAGTCCTAACAACAAGGCACAAAGAGAAAGTACAAACTGACAAGACAACAGACTCTATGTACAAGTAAATGCATAAATTTATACACGTTTTTCAGGAATATAATTGGTCGAGTTTCAGGAACATGTGAAACTAGAGACAAGAGATTAGGTAGATACTTGATTAAGTGCATTTTCAGCATAAGGAAATGCTTACACGCTAATGGGAGACTTCTAAGCAGAGGTGCGCCAACATTCAAGACAGGTTTACCACTCATTACAGTGAGGTTTTCTCAACTAAATCTTTGAAATAACTTACTTTTGAAGAAAACCGAAAATAATAAGTTTATTATTTTGAATTTTCAAAAATAAAAATCCCTTGATGATGGTAGAAGTTCTTCTTCCAAGAGAACATAGAGAGAGTTGATTTATTTACATCTAGAGGCATCTGTATACAGAGCAACTATCCCTATCTCTTTCAAAAAATGTTTGACAAACTTCATTTGCTACAAAAACTAAAGGAGATGATAAATGATACACGAATAATATTGAAACTTTACTCTAAACGTTGTGAATGCAGTCAGAAAGAAAATAACTGGATATATCACTTTGAAAAAGAATAAAAAGTCTAAAAATATACGAAGGTTTATGGATTTGAGCTAAAAACATTTCTAAGATCATCACAAAGCTTCGGAAGATTTTTGTAAAATAATAAATACATAAGCTGTTATACTGGTCTGGAAGAGCTTATGACCAACACTCTGAGATCAAAATTTTAAGTTCCTTCCTGGGAAATGCCTAAATCGGCAATCTGAAAATCTTCAAACTTTTGTATAATAAAAGCAATTTTTTGAATGGAAGACAGGTTAAAAAAGGAAAAAAAGTACTTCAACAAGGAAAAACTGATCTTAAGAGCTACATAAAATGCACTGTAAAAGCATATTTTTGAGAGGTATGCAATTAAGTGTGTCTTAGTTGGATTATGGATTAATCAAATTTATCGGGTTACAACCATAATTCAGCGATTATGGCGGTGAATATTCATCTGATCGCTAATGACAGCAATAGTACGGAGCATGGTCAGCATTGAATTTTCTTTCTACTTCATTTATAAAATAATTGTCTTGCCTAAAAATGCACAGATTATACCAAATGTAAGTGCACATCTAGCTACCAATCCAGACATTTTCCTTTTTGATAAATTTTCCATCCAATTGGGGGGGGGGGCTGGTGGTGGTGGTGATTGGTAACTAAGACAGTCATGACAATTAATTACACACCTCTCTTGTTTTCATTAAAATTTTGAGACCTTTTCGAACAGCCTATAAGAGAGCAGGACCATGTAGAAACTTCTTGCTCTTGTGATTCATGAAGATATACCTTGAGATTTAAATGGACTATCCTCACTGATCCACTCTGCAAAGTGTAAAATAGCAATTAAGACCTGATGCTTAAACCTAAGGCAATAAAGACTGACATTCACTCTGAATCACCTTGAGTTAAATACACTGAAAAATATCCGTGCATATTAGCTTCCATACTTCATGAGCTCCTAGGTTAGTCTCTTGAAAGTATCAAAGATAAAGAAACTTTAAATAATTTAGCTCACTGAAACAACCTAAGTTTTGGAAGAGAAGAGGACACTATTCACTTGGATGTTGAAAATTTGAATTTTTATGCTTAGCTACCAAGTGGTTAGTTAAACAATGCCAAGAGCAAGAGGTATGGGGACATTTGCGTTTCCATAATTCCCTATGAAATAGTCAAACAAACATTGGAAAAGCAAGAGATATGATACGATTGTAAAAATAATTTCACTTAATTTTTTGGATGAGATCTGAGAAAATATCTGGCAAATTAATTGAAAAAAAAAAAAAAAAAAAAAAAAAAAAAAAGAATATGTATTAAGTAAGAATTGGCTTTTAAAAGGGTGGCAAGGTAATAACCTGAATAATTTCGATGAGTTATGAAGAAGACATGTAACAAAGAAGAGCTTGAAAAAATAAATCAGAAAAAAGTCAACAATGCTGGAAATTATTTTTTGTTGCTTTAGAAAGTTCGAAAAGGAAAACACACTTCCTATGAGTACTGGCTCACTATAAAATTATTGAAGGTGAAGCCGACAAGCTATGACTGAACGCATAATGCTTTCGCTATTTTGCCTTGTAACAGGTACAAAAGCCGTTTAGAACCTTTTCCCTTAGATTTCTCTTTATAATTTGATTTCAGCATTGCAAAGAGGCCACTTTTCTTTTACAATAACGACTACTTTTTACTGATGAATGATGATGCTGACTATGATTTAACTGCAACTGTTACATTGTTTGCTCTTATGAAATCAAAGAAACAAACCGACTTTACCGCTCTTCAGTCAGACAGCTATTGAGATCATTTTGAGTGGGCCAGCACTTCAAGAGGAAACAGCTTTTATTTTTAATTTAAAATCTGCTCGATCAACACACAACTTTTTTCTGCCTGATTTTCTTTGAGCTATCACAAAATTTTGAGAACTGGAAGACAAACTGAAAAGTATGGAAAACACCTATTAAATGCAAAAGTACTGACAATGGCGAGGAATGCTTGAGTACCAGGTGAAAAAAATCCTGGTTTGTGGATTCAATAACTTTCAGCGTACAATTGTAAACATTATCTCAGTTATTAAGCTTTGGCAAGGCGCCATGTGTTGTGCTTACTGAGTGAAGACTCAAAAAAGTGTTTGAGCTCTTTTTCTTATTCTTATCATTGAGGTACCATGATTTGAAACTCTTTCATCTCACCTACTTCACACAAGATGATTAGCTAGTCATACTGGCAAGAATTGAACATGTTGCTTCATTTTTACTTGATAATTGCATTGCAGAGCAGTGCGTATTCAGTAGAATCAAATCTGCAGGCCAGGATTTTGGAATGAGTGACTAAAATAAAAAAAAAAGTTGCAACCAGGAATTTTTTGGACCCGTATATTTGGTTTTCTGCAGGAGACCTTCTTAGATTTTCAGGGATTGAGTGGGCCACCACAGATTTTGATCAATTTTCACGTCACTTAAACTTTTCATGCAGAACTGAGAAAAGTAGATTTTGGTGTTAAGCATCCGAGAGAAACATACATGCTAATACATAGTGCGAAAAATTTTGAACCTAAGCGACAACTCAGCTTCCCCGTTTAAAACCTATAGTGTTTCCATTCTTTCCATTGAATCAAAACTGTAGGAAAATCAAACTGGCAACTTTTGTGACTGGTAAAGCAAGATTTCCGGATCCAGTAAAATTCCCATTAAATAAATATCACAAATTCGAAGTTATAATAAGGAGAGAGAATGTACTATTCACAATTTTGGAATTCTTTACGACAGAAATGGAAAAAATTTTGCTTTGTGAATCAACTATTTTTGCGCATCAAATGCTACTAGGTACTAAGAGGAGAGAAAGAACAAAAATACAACATTTCCTTTCTCCAGTCGCAAAAAAAGAAGAGACAGGGGCAAGCAAAATGAACAATAGATCTGAACATACAAAAAAGAAGAAAATTACAGTATCAAAAATAAAATAAACGAAGATTAAGTTAATTAAAGAGGCAAAGGAAGATTGGACTGTAAAAAAATTGAACTACTTGCATACGAGGGTCATTAGGTACAAAACTTCAACATGTTACGTTATGTACATCGTATGTACAAAAAACAGACACTGTAAACTTTAACTGTTTCAAATAAATATATAAATCTATTTAACAAAATAATAATAAAAATACTTATGAAGTATTTTAAAATTTCATTCACAAGGTGCCTTAACATTTGTGATAATAGTCAGTTCTCCCTATACATTATATACACAAATTGCGATCATATCGCAATTCCAATCACATTTGAGAACTTAGATTTTAAAGTTACACATGGCTTCCAATAATGATTACCATGTACTATACAAAATGTTAAAAAATGCTCAAGAGCCTGCAATCAAGTTGTTAACACATTGTTCAGTTGCTACAGTTCACACTTCTTTTTTTTTCCTGTTTAGGAATCTACAGTGTGGCCTAAGTAATGGTTGACAAACTTAGGATTTGTTCTGGGTATTTGTTGATACAGACAAAAAAAGTTTTCGATACATGCATCAAAGAATGCATTCTTTAGCCGAAACAGTTTTTTGGTTATGGGACTGTTAAGACATACCATACAAAAACCTGTTCAACCTCTATTAGTATCGCCAGATTTTATTGGAATTTCGAACAAGAGCAAAAATCAATGAAACAAATACTTTTTGCTCTTCTCACATTTTGCCAAAACTCAATTTTTTTTGAGTATTCGTTTGATTTTCTGAAAGATCATGTTTATATTTTTTGCAGCAAAAAAAGACACAATTCTGGACACAAGTTTAGAGGATTTTTATTACCGTTTCCATGAGCAGAACGAAAGCACAAAGTTTCTTGCCACTTACTTGTGACCTGTTGATAATTAAGGGGGCCAACAACTCAAGTAACTAAAACAAACGTTGGAGGCCATTGACAGAGATTTGAAAAAGTTCCACTCTTAAGGATAACAAAAGTTCTAACTCTGGTCAGGATTATTTCTATTTTCCTCTATCAATGATTCGTTGTTATAATCGGCATGGGTGGTACTTGAAACAGCACACGACCTCATCTCACCTAAATTTTATTTTCTTGAAATTGGCACTAAGAGGCATAAAATGCTGTGTTAAGGTGTGTTTCCCTTGAAAAAAACAAGCATACCGCCATGTTTCTAATTTCTCTTTTATTGGAACCTAAGAGGCATTATACATTAGAAAAGAATAATAATTAGATCAGGTTTGCATTGACGGTATGAGATTCTTGCTTTTGAGAGACTTCAAATATGTTTAGGTAGAGCATGTTTGAAGTACTTTGTATTTCTTCGATTTCATTTAAAAAACGCCATTGAAACCAATCAAATTGTATAAAGTAAGACAGATCCATTTTTAATGTTGAGTTTAGCTGATTAACCTATTTCTTCTCTGTAAAATTAGACCTTAGAGGTGAAGTGGTTCTGCCAAACATAAGCAGGCATGTAAAAAAATGCATTTATATTTTTAACGTTGGCACCTTGTAAACAGAGGGAAACCAAGATTTTTACATAAAATAAACTAAATAGATGAAATTACCTTTCACTGAGCTTGGAGCATCAAGAAAAAATAGTGAGCGGCAAACTGACAGTAAAATCCAGAAGATTGTCTAATATTAATTCGTATTCAAAATTTATTACCTCTTATCCTGGATTCCTTGCTGGTTGATAGGTGTTTCCACCTATTTCTGACTGTAAAAGTTTCTTGTAAATACAATAGCGACTTTGTCAAAAGAAAAAAACATTTCTGACAATATACTCCTTGCTGTGACAGATAAAGGTTAATTTTAGACCATTATTGGATCATCATCAGGAGGGAACTGTGGCATTGAACTGTCCATAGGTTGCCGCTGGCGACTTCGAAGTCGGTGTGTGACAGGCCTTTGTCTCACAAGTGGTTGTTGTGCAGCTGAAATTGAAAAAAACAACTAGATTAGAAAAGATGAGACATTGAGAAAATTTAAAGTGGTGGAAATAGCTCTCATCATCAAAGACAGATACGAGGGTAAGACAATTTTTTCACAGAAAATTGGCAGTAGCCAGTGTTACCAAATAATTGCTGACAATAACGACTCAAAAAGGATATTAATGATATGAGGTGGAAAATCAAAAATTAATCGAGAGCTTGTATTTTTCACCGTCCAGTGAGAAAAAAAGAATAGTGCATGGCACAGTTCCTGAAGAATGGAGCTTCTTACCTCCAGTGTCCACGTCATCCAAACTACCATCGTCCGTTGAAAGGAGATCATCATCAGATGTTGAACGTGTGAGTGAGGGTAATTTACTTGTGAGAATTTCTTTTTCTTTTTCTATCACTTCCAAGTGTCCCATCAGCATTTCCTCGACCTCATTCTGTTTTACTGGCAGCGTTTCATCAGGGTTGAAAATCTAGAAAATAAATGGAAAACCGTTACAAATGAGGAAATTTTAATATTTTCAATTGTTAATATGGTGAAAAAGCATTGAAAAATTAATGAAAACAAATCTTAATAAGATGAATTAAAATTTGAAAAAGTTATGTCATACTTGAGGGAAAAAGCACAGGTTTCAGACATATTTGAGCTTGATTACATATTTTTCTTCAGAGATATGAAATTTCTGATTCCCACCACAATAACAGGGCAATATTGTAGATGACTACAAGGAGCTTCGCTTTTCTTTCCTTTTCAAGAGCTTGTAAATCAGGATGTAGCTGGTGAAAGAGTGAGGAAATTTTCCAATTCTTTGCAATATATGCTTGAAGCTTAGTTATGAAGATATCAACAGACCTTCAAGGAGTCTGCATACGATTAGGATGAAAAGGTGCATGAAAAAAAGAGAAAAAAAGAAACCAAAGCACAGATAAATCAAACTAGCAACTCATAGAAAACAATGGGGCGAAAAGAGAAAAAAACGGGAAAAATTTGCTGTATAAGATGGCAATTTTTTTTAAGCAAATAAATTATTTGTCGTAATCATTTGACCAAAACTTTCATTTTAGAGAATAATAATTTAAATTATAAATTCTGATTATTAATGCAGATGATTTTACCTTGGAACTACGCAAGGAGGAAAGCCGGTTAGTGGCAGTGTGACAAGCTGTGTCAAGCGTGTTGATATCCTCCAAAGTTGAACTGACTTGACTCATTTTCTCTGTGATGATAACTTCTACAACCTGTGTCTGCAGACCAATGTCATGCAGGGACACTTGAGCAGGAACAACCTTGTTCGTTCTCAGAATGCAAGGCGCAAAAACAATAGCAAGGGCTCCTGCATTCATTCGATTTGTTCCTTCGTGAAGAGCAACTCTGAAACAAAAATAAAATGACATTGATGGACTGAGGTCAAACTAAAAAAGCAGTTGAAAAGAGGATGTTCTTAGTTTTTTGTGAAGTGTGTAAGAACAACTTAGCAAAATGAAGAAACTAAGATGAAGGATGATTAAATATCAATTTGTACTGTTCTGCAGTGATTTTAACAGCAATACTAAATACTACACTGAAAAAAAGTTATCCGCTTAATAGACAAACTGCGTGTTCAGGGCTCGGAGGCCAAAAGCATTGGGTGCTAAAGCTGTGGCTCTGACTGCTCCGGGTTCAGTGGCCAGAGCAACGGGTGCTGTGCCCTGGATTTTCAGCCTCTGAGCCTAGAACGGTCAGATGATATGTCCATATTGCCAGTTAGTATGGCTTTTACAGATAGAGCTTTTTTGTTGTTTTTTCCTTTTTTCCTTTCATTTAAAGTAATTTTGAATAAAATATTTCGTTAAGGTGAATTTTCAGCTGCAGTTCTGAAAAAATCTACTATGTCGCGCTGCTAAAATCTGGCTCCAAAATCCGTGATTATCGAAAAATTACAACATATAGCTTACATTCTAAGACTCACAAATTCTAGCAGCATATGTATGGAATGTTAAAAACCAAACATAAGCTTTTCAAATTTAATAATAAAAGCTAAAACTGGATCCCAGTTTCTCTTATGGGATGCTTGTAAGTGCAAGAGAGACAGTTCACAATGGGAGAGGGATATCTGCAATTGCTGAGAGAGTTCACTCGTCACTCATAATTGGTCGCATCAAGGTCATTTTGCCTAACCCTACTTTTGTCTGGAATCAAGTTCCAGAGTTTCAGAAATTAGTTTTCACATCTTTTTTAGTGTCAAAAGGGAGAAGAATGCCATAGCTAGAACTTATAACTCTTCGATTTCAATAGAAATTCCTTCCATTTTCATTGATGCTCAAGGAACCAAGCTGTACGAACTCTAATGATGTGACCCTGACACACAACACACAAAAAATCAAGACACAGCGGCGGCGCCCTCTGCGCTGAGAAACATCTTACTTTGCGGAGCTGTAGATTGACCTTAATGTATGTTTGTAGTTACTAATGAATACGCCTAATAAGGTAGTTACTCAGATTTTAGAATGAGTTTTACGAAAAAAGAATAGAGAAAGTTGTGAGTTATTTTTTAAACCTGTCTATCATGACTCAGCTGAAAATTGATTCAGCATTCCTTTTTCCTTCTTTCTGTTTTTTAAGTTTTTTTTTTAAACTTCCATGAAAGCTACTTCCATATTTCGATGCGCTGCTGTCAAAAAATAATTTGAATTTAATTCGTCTTACCGGGCAAGGTGAAAAATAAGCCTTTCCATTAGATCAAAATTAGGCTTGGGCAGTTTTTTCAGGATGGCATACAAAGTGGACACGCGGTCCTCTGTCAGAGTGGCTGCTCTTAGGAAATCATCGTACGCATCGAAAGTGAGAAGAGGCTCTGGCATCTCACGAAAAAAACACTTCAAAACACTTGCTAGAACATGGACCTTGAAAAGAACAAAGAGAAGAAATTAGAGATCCAAGTTGAGGAGAATCAAAAATTCACTATCAACATTTAAAGGCTGAAATATTCATTTTTACGGCGATGGGGTGAGAGGTTCTCTATTACAACAGGTACATTTTGCTTCCATTCCATTGGCACTATTCAATTTTAAAAATATTCTGTCACAGTAATTACATGGTGTTTTTGCAGTATTAAAATTGTTTTGAATTAGTTCTAGGTCCTGGGACTACACTTATTAAATAATAGACTTTGAATGTTTCAGAACAATTTAATGTGCAGGAAAGTAGAAAATTCAGCTTGATAGGAGGACGGTATGAATCCCTACTCAAATAATAGAAGATATGGCTTTAAATTTTGGTTTGGGAAACTCTGAATGAGATAAAATAAGGAGGAAAGATTTCATTCATCAATTCATCGTAGGATGGTGCCCTCGAAATGTAGGTTTAGAGTTAGATTTCCAGACGTTTTTGGGCCCCGTTTTGGTCAGATGAAATCAAAGTATGCATCACTCTACATATCACCAGTTTCCTTGTCTAAAATGAAATAAATCTTCACCCGGTGAAATTTTTAGGACTTTCTCTTTGGTTAATAAAATACTATTCAAATTAATATTTAGTTCATATACCTGGTACTTTTCAAATTCTACTGTTTCAATATTTCCCTTCTCCATCAGCATTTTAAGTTCCTTCACTTTGGAGGTGACCTGAGAAAAACAAAATAACCATATGGATTGAGTAAAAAAAGATTGAATAGTGTAACCATAATAAAAAAAATTAGGTCAAACCAAATTTAAGATAATCAAAGTTTTTGTGAAGAACTTCACTTGGACTCCATTTTCAGCTGCTGGTACCTTACAAATAAATGACGTCCTAGAGCGTTTGTTAGTGCTTTGTTTGCCTGCAATCATTTGCAAACTCAACCAAGAAGTAGACCTGAAGTTCAACCAGTATTAAAGGACAGGAGCATATGTTTCATCCCACAAAAATCTTCACACATCAAAGTTCAGTTAGTTTCTCATGAGAATTAAACATTTTAAATTTGTTCGCCAAAATTTCAAACAAACATAGATGAAAAAAAATTGCCAAATTTGCATCCTGAAAAGTTAATCGAAATTTCACATGCAATGTTCTTTGTACAATGGTTCTAAAGCCCATGTTCACTGATCCTATTGACTCGATCCACACATTCACATATTCCTCCCTTTGTTTTGTATCATGTTTTCTAATCATATCAAAGCTTTACTGCAAAACAATAAAAATTAGGAGAGTAATGATTAAAGAAAAATATGAGAGAAACTAGCTTACCCCTGATTTTCTGTAAATTCCTTCAGTGTATATGCCGTACATTTCTATGGTTGTGACCAGGCGGTCAAATACAAGAGGAACTTTTCCATCACCAGTGGCCAGTTTATGAACAGGAACACCGAAGACTTGATGGACATTGCTCAGAGGGCGTGAAACCCCAGAACTTGCTTGCATATCTTTACCGCACTCATTATTTGAGCGAAGGTAACATTTCTTGTGACACGTTAGCTTGCAGTCTGATATAAGAAAAAAGAGGATGATATTTTATTGCATTAAGGGAGAAAAGAGATTGATTAGAAAGATTTCAAATCAACTACAGCCAGAGGGGGAGGGGTGTTAAAAGAAGAATCAACAAGGGAAAAAATAAAAAACTCTGGCATATTCTGTAAGTGCCATATTGAAAGTTCTATAGATTTTCAGCTCTTAGGCTGCCCATATGAAATAGACACATTTTTGTGATTTCTTCTTATCAAGTTTGACTAAAAATAAACGACACAAGTGAGTTCCTACCCATCTTTTGATTCATGCAAACTCTTGTTTTAAAATTGTTTGCGAACGAACAGAGAATTAACGTTTTCCTAAAAAATCAGATGACTGATGAATTTTATTGTCAATAATTATGGCAAAAAAGAAGATCTTATCGTTTGCCGAGGATTAGACATGAGAAAGTTCCAAATGGGCAAAAAGTGACAGAATCATACATAAAATTAGCAAAAAATGATGCCCACAATCGCTGATTGTATCATGACAAAAGATCAAATGCTCAACCATAATCTTATAGTCACATACTTTCCAGGTTCAGAAAAAACCTGGAAAGGAATAGACATATTTCAGGAGGGAGAGGTACATCTAATTTTACAAATGATTGTTTGAACTTACTCTGACATACGAGTCCCCGTTCGAGTGGCCACATGAAAAATGATGAGCAGATCTCACATGCTGTTGGGATATTGATGATCGTTAAGTGAAAGATGTGCCCTGCGTATTTGATTGGCTCATCACCCTTCTGCTTCTTTTCTTTCTTACGCTTCAATTTCCCTGGCTTCTCTGCTTCAAGCTTCGTCAGCTGCGTAAACTCGTTCATGAAACCACGGAATGCATTCACTCCCATCGTCACAGGAAAGTCCTTGTCTGTATTTTCCTTATTGCACACTGTTTCCATCACCTGTAAGGCCATTCATGGATAAGTTCTGACATTAGGGTCAAGGAACACAAGAGATGATGTGCCTAGGTAAATACATTATTTTAGAGAAAGACATGTATTAAAGTTCGAGAGGCTGAAAGTTGACCTTTTAGGATGTTAGAAGATACAATGGGAGATATCATACTTTAGGTCATGAAAATAACTCTGATGAAAATAAAGGATGTCACAGAGATTTAAATGATGTTAACCAAAGAAAGAGTCAAATAAACGAAAAACGTCTTGACTGAGGCTAATATTTTGACACATTCAAACAAGCAAATTCATTGAGAGATAGGTACTCTTTGAAATTGACAATTAATTTCTTAATAAACGCTGTGCATTTTGTGACTTGAAATTTGTGATTCCTTTTTAAACTATATGGTTTTACCATTTAAAATTCTATGAAGAATAAGAAATTGTATCATAGTGACGATTTTTCCAAGTTGGCAGAGCTGGATTTGGTCCATTTCCAAGTGCGCAAAACAACGGCAGGCAAGCTGCCTTTTGAAAATCAATTATTTGTGATATATTTAAACAGAAGAAGAATAAGGGTGCCACCGTACAAGAATCTCTTCTAATAAATCCAAATGAAACAGTCATTGTATATGCTTTTTTCCAATTTTAATTGAAAGTTTTAAGGATTGAAGTTTTCCTCATTGAAAATTCAATATAATAAGCCTGATAATCATCAAAGAGAAAATAAAATAATCGTTATTTGAAAAGTGAGTCCAATCATTTGGTCGATCCTGAAACTTTACAGGATAGATTGAACGTATTTCTGCCAAACGGAACTAAGTGCAATATGATGTAAACCCTGTTATGCATATATTCTTACAGGTCTCAGGACTCATGTCTTAATGCACATTGTTCCGTTTGGCAGAAATACGTCCAATTATCAATGAGGAGCAGCTTTAAGTCCTTGAGCATTCTCAGTTTTTTGAAGAGAAACAGTGACTTGAATTCAAGAATCTCTAGGAGAGTGTATTTTTCTGAAGTAAAATCCCTTCTTTGTGAGTATATAACGAATGGTGACTTCATAAACTATAGCTTCTGACAACATGAAAGTAATAAGGTTACTGAAGTTTTGGACTACAGAAAATCAAATTTTTTCTTAAAAATCATGACTTATCTAAACTCCGCTGGAAATAAGAGTCGAAAAAGCAGAGCGCAGTGAGTGAATTAAACAAGCCATGAAATTTTCGATTTACTCTGTTTACATTCTATTAAAATGAAGATATTAAACTGATTGAATCACAGATGCATAGATTAAATCTGACATGTTCTTGGAGCAAAACTCAATGCCAAAAAGAGGCTAGTTAAATGAATGAATGAATGAATAATATTACTTGATATTCTCTGCATAGATATCTCCTTTGCTCAAACAATTTTTGTCCAATCTCTTGAGCGACCGAATCCCCTCTGAACAAGAGCTCAGTTCTCTTGTTCTTCAGGTAAGTATTGATTGTATTCTAAACCTCTTCCCGAATTGGTCATGAACTTCAGTAACGAAGAGAATTTGACAATAGTAAATGGTAACTGTTGGGAACCATGATGTTCAAAAAGTTCTCCTTGCTAAATTCTCTTGGTGGCGGCAGTCTTACGACACATGAAGATGGCATGGGTGCGGCCTAAGTGTGGCTCAAGAACTATGATACTAAGCCCAACACAAAAATAATAATGTAGTCCATGCTTCCTCGATAAGAACATAGTTTCCTTCAATTTGCAGAGGGTGTGATCTTCTCAATCTGAGTAACTGTTTGATATGCTGCATGGAGGAATGAAATCATCAGTTTTTACGACTGACTTTCGTGACGTTTGTCTGAGAGCACCAATGACAAAAAATATTCACGTTTATTTCAAGCAAAATCCAGATCAGATGATTGATATAAATTATGTAAAAGTTTCAATGAATTCACATGAAAACAGCCTTTGAGACTAGGGAAAAAATATACCTGTTGTAAACCAAATTTGCATTGACAAGAACTTACGTGTAGGAAATTGGCGATAAGATCTTTATATTTTATGTTGAGTTTGTCGCCCTGTTTGTTGACCACACTGTAAGTTGCGACCAGATTATCTTTGAACTCTCGCAAGGCTTGCTTGAAGATTTTATCTACCTTTGAGGGTTTCTTGACCTCCTCGCTCTCCATTACATGAATCTACAACAAACATTCATTAAGCATTTTTAAAGACCATTCAAATTTAGTTTCTCGGTCGAGACAAGAGAAAAACACTTGGGTGAATTGAAATCCTACTTGTTGAAAGAAAGGGTTATTCCTTGAACAAACCTTGCTTCTCCCTTTTCAAATAAAAAGAATCTGAATAGAGATAGTTTAAAATGAAAGGGATTGCTCTTCAGAACCTCCAGATTTTGTACAAACGGAGTTATAAGCGTTTAAAGTTTCCAAATTTCGTCCGACCTCTCCTATAAACTCGATCCACTGTGCCACGGGACAAAAGTGTGATTTTCTCGTTTAGGTGTGGAAGGCCCTTGGATACCTCCTTAGAAAGTGGTTCTGCCCCCCCCCCATTTGGGCGCATTTGACAGTCAAAATACGCGTTTTCCGATCGCTTTGAGCCTTACCTCGAATGTTTCAATTCGCTTCTATTTTAATTGGTTAAATTTTTATTTTCATGAATGGAACCGATTGCAACTCCGACTTCCGGAGCGTCGATTGCCCAACACGAATGAGAATTGAACGTATTTCTGTCATACGGAACTATGTGCACTATGATGTGAGCCCTGGGACTTATATTCTTATGGGTCTCAGGGCTCATGTCTTACTGCACATAGTTCTGTTTGACAGAAATACGTCCCATTAAAAGGGCATCACCCTTCACCTGTTGCTTTTCGAGCCTCGTTGCCACCGTACTCGCTCCTTCCCGTGGTTAGGGAAACCATGGTCGTCGTGTGACCCTATTTTCATCACTTTATCGAAACGACCATTAGCATATCTTACTTGGTGTTTTATCTAGATTCAGAATAAGAAATTAGAAATGGACATAATTAAGTCAAACACGGTCCAGCTACTGCGTTGTGAAATATAACGTGTTTCCTCCTACAGACCGACGGTGAAACTACCAAACCACGTATCTCGGTTTGCGACGTCGCAGACTTCCTGTCATACTCTATTTTTTAAATGAAAAACTACTTAACGTCCACTCTTGAAAATTTCTGTGATTTTTCCTCTTCGTGCGGAGAAAATTCTGTGAAAATTTCAAGGAATGATATTGATTTGGTCTACTTCAAAAAAATAAAATGTGAGCGTAGATTTTTAAACACTGCAAACGAGATACGTGGTTTGGTAGTTTCACCGTCGAGACGGATAGGTCGTGTTAATTTGGATTGCATTTTGTAAGAAGGAACCAGGAGCATTGCAATGTTGCTAAGATCATGCAACGTCTTTTGTCTTGGAAGAAGCCCCTGATTATCCATTTACAGCTCCTAGTTCACTCACTAAAACCTGTAAATTCAAGAAAAAAATTACCGTGTGAATTTCATATTTTTTCATGATTTCAGTAATTTATTGCAAGGGATGAAGTTGCACAATCTTAGCATCACTGCAATTCTTCTAGTGTTCCTTTTTGCAAAATGCAATCCAACTGTAACTGAAAGATAATACACCCTGTTTTTTCCGCGTTAACCTTAACATGAGCGGAGGTAAGTAATGGATTAACCGACGGCAACCCACGAGAGACTCATTCGTTAGTCCACCATTTTCTCCCTTAGTCTATAAGAACCACACACTTCAACCAATAGGACCGCTCCATTCTCCTTAAGCAGGGCGTCTGGTTTTTTCTCATTCTGGGGAATCCGAAGGGATCATGCTTTTTCTTGTTTTCGACTGCTAAATCCTGATATCATAATTTTTCCAAAACCTAATCAAATATTTTGATTTTTTGCGGAGAAAAATTAGACGAATGTAGGTAACTTCACAAAAATAGCTCGATAAAAAAATCCGATCGGACGTCCGACTTTTCTCAAATCCTGATGCTAGACACCCTGGCCTGTTATGCCTTCTTCGTCTATCAATTTCAAGAATCACACTGGAAAAAAAACACATTAGATCTGGAGTCCAGACTCTTTAAAACATCGACAAGAAAAAATACTCTTGATTCAATCAGATTTAAGCTTAAATCAAAAACTAAGCCTCTTAATTTAAGCGGATTTCCTTTTGATTTAAGCTTAAATCTGATGGAATCAAGAGTCCTTTTTCTTGTCAATGTTTTCATGAGTCTGGACTCTAGATCCAATGTGTTTTTTTTTCCAGTGATCGCTTCATTTTCCATTTATTTTTTTGCCCGACAACTTCAATAATCAGGCCGCTGCGAGGGTGATTTTCCGATGTCGTTTTCCTTCTTTGGCTTTGGGGCGGGGGAGGATGGACTCGGCATGGTGGCAGTGGCGGCCTGTCCAGCCGGTTGATGGGGAGTGCGATTCACGAGCGTACTGCGGGTTGCGTGATGGCGCCGTAGCGTGATAGCGAGCCTCAAACGACGCTAATCACAATTTTATAGGTCCAATAGCACCGGATCAATGGGCGATACCGACGCCGATTCGAGGCACTGCTTCGATTCGGCCGAACGTTTACGCGTCGGAAAAGCGGAAAGAAAGGGGAGAATCGGTAGATATCGATTGCGCTCCGATAGAGAGGTAAAACCGGAGGACGAGTCCGGGGGGCTAATTGGCTCGTGTTAGTGTCAATTTTCGACCCTGCTCCCGAAAACGCGGGGCGGCTCATTTCGCAAATATCAAGAAAGCAGAGCGGACATGAATTATTCCTGCGTCGGGAGTCCACGCATAAAATTGGCCCGAAACGGACGGAAAACTGGAGAAAAACAATGAGGTCAAAGCCGCAGAGATATGAAAATGAGCTCTTGGTTCGGGGTTCAAATGACGCCTTTCCGTCGTTGGAAACGTCGTGATGAATGACAGGGTGTCTACTAAAACAGGATCGTCAAAAATAAGTACTTTTACAGTATTTTTTCAGTATATTCTCAAGAAATTCAGGATCTCCTCCGACAGAAAAATTCCGTACTTTTTCAGTACCTCCACTTGATGAAATCAGAAAAATTTCAAAAATTTGAAATTGCGACAAAAATGACAAAAAATTGAAACAAAAATCTGGACCTTTTTGCGGAATTTCCGCACTTTTTCAATACTTCCGGACCGCCCTTAAAAAAATCAGTACTATTTCCGGACTTTCTGGACTTATAGCCACCCTGAATAAAAACCCATGCTTTTCTTCCTAGATATCGTCACCCTTCCGGCCAAAGTATCACAAGCGCCATGCGACGTTTCAAATTTTCCACCGCCATTTCATCTTTTAACAGGGTTATTGTTGGTTGAATCTGTTTGAGAATTTCGCTGAATTTTATCAGCAGCACGAGGAAAATTCAGTGAAATTTTCGACCAGCTTCGTTGAACAATTTCTAAAAAAATAAAATGGCGGCGGAAATTTTGAAACGTCGCATGGCGCTTGTGATACTTTGGCCGGTAGGTGACGATACAACGAAACGGAAGCGAGAGGCAACAATTGAGAACCGCGTAACTGGGTAATTTTAAAAGATATAAAATAAAAAAAAAAAACATAGAAAAAACTTCCTGACTTTTGGTTGGAGATTGTGATGTATGAGTGCACGCTCCGCCGAGAAGAATCGTGTATGTCAGAACTCCTTTTGATGAGTTGGTTCAAAACTCCTGATTACCCTTAATTTTCTTGGTTGCCTTACAACTCATAATACTATCCGGTTTCTGAGCTTGCCACCCGGTATTGATAAGATACCCCTACATTTGTCAAACAAATTATGCAGTATTCTAGGGTTACTCTACAGCAGTACGATTTATGGCTCATTTTGAAGAAGCTAAACCCTCGGGGATAAAATTAAGACGGGGTTTTTGAACGAGTAGGGATAAGTGTCGGACTGTTCTATTCTAAATTGAGTTCCAGACGGGAAACTAATCTTCGGGGAGAGAGCAGCTAAGAATATAAAATTGACTTAGACCTCTTGAAACAACCACTTCAATTCATAGTGGGGTGAAACATAAGTATTCGAGCAGATTAGGTTATTTTGTCTAATTTTCTCCGATAATTGTCCAATTTAGAAACCAAGGATATCCTCGTACTCTGTTTTCTTGGCAAAATCACTTTAAAAATGAAGTTCACAAAATTTCAGACACCTGCAAATTCTCTACTTCGGGATTGGCGCCATTCAGGGCCGGATTAAGGGGGTGGCCACATGGGCCGCGGCCCATGGCGGCAAAAATTTGCAAATTTTTAAAGTGTAGGTATAAAAAGGAATCGGATTTATAAAAACAAAATTACAAACGAGAAAAGGCGGCAAAATCTCTCATTTCCTGAGAGTATAGTAATTTCTAATTTTGTCTTAGTGATACAAAAGACAGCACCCTCAATAAGTCGAGTTACGAGAGAAACCAAACACGCAATTTGGCATAGAACGGCGCGACTTAGAGAGAAATGATAACGAGGACTTGAGATGAGAAAAAGCCCTCGGCAGGGCGATCGGCATGTAACACATATTAGCGCCTACAAGACTGCACGAATACTTCACGCATTGTATCAAACACAGTGCGGTCATTGCGGTCAGCGTGAAACGGATAGCGCTTACAAGAGTGCATGAATACTTCACGCATTGCGCCAAACACAGTGCGGTCAGCGTGAAACGCATAGCGCCTACAAGACTGCGTGAATACTTCACGCATTGCGTCCAACACGGTGCGGTCGGCGCGGCGCGGCGGCGAGAGTCAAAATCATTGAACCACATTTATGTTTGTTCTTTCATAATTTTTTCGTTCATTTCTTAGGAATGGAAGGCCTTGTCCACACAGAGATAGGTTTACTTAACGTTCGCGCAAAGTTTCGTGAACTTTTGCTAGAAGTGTTGACAGGGCTTTCCCCAAAAATGTGTTCAACACGAGTAAATGCGTCTTATGCACCCCTCCCCCGCTGACACGTTCATTTGATGGTTGTTATCGAGTTTCAAAACGAATGAGAGGGGGGGGGGGGCAAAATACAGGCGGCCCATGGACGGCAAGTAGGTGAATCCGGCCATGGAGCCATTTTGAAACAACCACTTCAATTCAGAGTGGGGTACTGGGGTAGTCCCGATTATTTTGAGGGGAGATTCGTGAACTTTC